TGCCTCTGAGTGACACTACCGCCGGTACTGATCCGAGTAGTCTTGCCTGCGCCGTTACACTGATAATCCTAATAATAACTATGTAAACTAACTAACCAGCCAACGACTACACAGGCTTCACGATTTACCCATCTCCACATTCTTTCTTTCTTTCTTTCTTTTTTCTTTCTTTCTTTCTTACTTACTTACTTACTTACTTGGTTTGCTTTGCTTTGCTTGTTTTTTCCCCTACCCACCACTCACAACGTCATCCCCCGTTTCTTCACCCACCCATCCTGCAAACCGTTTACCGCGCTAATCTCCAACCGGAAAATGCTATATCACTACGCCTACGTACCCGCTGAACCAAAACACAATACTTTCATGAATCGCTACCTTTTTTTTCTTCCCTTTTCTAGTCACGAAAAAGCAATCAACTTTATCCTTGGCTCGGAGTTTTTTTCTCTTTTTCTTTTCTTTTTTTCTTTTAGCGCTACTTACTGTATACGGTGACTAGCATGCCACAGAGCTGCAACTAGCATGGCAACATGCAAACTGCAGCTATGTATCTAGGATGGAAACAGCCATTACGAACTGGGGATAAAGGCCCAGATGAGTCAGCGCTGTCGAGGTAGCTATGCGCGGTAGCCGCGAGACGAGATGCAGGGAGCTGTCAAGCTGAAACTGTGCACTTGGAAGTAGGGAATGAAGAGAAGAAGGCTGGAGGGTATGTACTTAGACTAATTCCTCAGCATACTTATAAGCTTAGTAACTTCGCAGCATGGTATTAAGCAACCCTTTTTGTACCGAGAAAATCAATCGTCTTGATTATTTTGAACAAGAGTCAATGTATACTCGACGCTTCAGCTGAAAAAAACAAAAACCCCACCCCCGCCCCTTTGCATATCCCACAACATGTGCTGGTGCTTGTGCTTGTGCAACGACTTATGCTTGGTTCAGGCGCCCCACTAACATTTCCCAGCCCGTCTTTCTGAGCTGAACGCCTGATCACTCACCCATCCATCCATCCACTCACTTACTCACCCGAGTGCCGTACATGCGGTCGTGATCCAAGGGGGCGGCGTGGTCCGGCATATTCTGCATATTCTGCATATTCTGGATTTCTGGATTCCTCGACGTGGCGCAAGCCTAGATTCTGCAGGCTGCTGTCCCATGCATCTTGCTGACTAGCTGAATGGCTGATTGGGCTGGCTGGCCTTGTAGGGCACGCCAATACTGGCTGTTTAATATCCGGTTTTCTTTCCTTTCCAGGCGATCCTTTGGGGTCCATCGTTGAGATCTGCAAGTGTTTGACGAATCACATGCAGGGCGTTTGCGCTGACCAAATTCAGCATTGGGATATCGGGTGGGTGGAATCGGATGCTTGGATACGGTCGGGGTACGTACCTTTTTTAGATGGAGCCGTTTTGTTGGCATGTTGCAATGTGTATTTAGACTGGCTATTTTCCAAATTTGACTAGAAAAAAAAGCAGGTTAACGGCATACATGTACTTGAGCATGGAATAGAGTATGCAAATGTTAAAGTGTGAAGAGTGAAGGAAAAAAATCTTATCAATGGACTTGTTGTCACAGGCTCAGCTTTACGATACTACCAACTGAAAATTTATGAGTAACCAACAGAACACTGATTACCGGGCTCAGAATAGTATATATAGGCGCCCAGGCTGGACACTAGTTTACGAGTGTTTAGCTTATAATCGTACACCCTACGGAGATACTAACTCTCTTTCTTTCTTTCAAAAGACTCGAGTAGAATATGTCAACTGGAAAATACTTATACACGCCTGATCCATTCGTATATCTTTACAACAAGACACTCTGCTACAACTATCCATGCCCAAACACGTACTTGGTATCCAAGCCCAGCGACTACCAATATCCACTTCTACAACAATCATCGATACAATACTAGCTGCTACAGCTACCCTTGACACAAATGCTCACTTCTACAACACCTTCCCAACCTTATCCACACCAACTACCACACCACCCTATTCATACACTCTCGCCCCTCCTCATCCCATCGCCTCTTATCCCCCCACCTCTCCCCCCATCCATCCTCCCCCTATGCCCCTCCGCCAGCATAATCGCCGCATTCCTACTCCGCACCTCCGCCATATACTCCATTTGCTCCGCCCCAGCTGCCTGCAACCCATTTGCCGTCTTCCGGAACCCAAATGTCGCGTGGATGGCTAATCCCATGCACACGGCGAGGCCGGCGCCTAGGATGACCAGGAGAATGATGCCTTCCTTGGGGATGACGTATTCGTCGTCGTTTTTGCGCTTGGTGAGGGGCGTGCTGGCTGCGAGGGGGAGGGTACTGAGGACTGTGCCGAGGAGTGCTGTTGATGGCGCCATGGTGGATGTATGTATTTATGTGTTTTTCGATTGGTTGTTGTGCCAGATTTTCTTAAGGATTGATATACTGTTTACGGTTTCGATTTCAGTCTCGGTTCGATAGGAGAATTGGATGTCTCCTCGGGAGATCCAAGTGCAGTGTTTGACCTAGTCTCCGTGGTTGAAGTAGATGACTCTAATGGGCATACAATACAGTTCAAAAAGTATCGTCGGGTTATGAGCACAGTGAATTAATGTAGTCAGTGTGTCAAAGAGTGTCGTACAGTACGTATTGAAGAAAGCAGACGACCCGTAGATGAAAAGAGAAACAAGAAATCCCAACAGCAGACACAGCGCCTTTCAAAACAAAACAATCCACCCCCATTCTGCCTTGCAGCATCCTCCAATCTATTGTTACTGGAATCCTACATAGACATGCACGCATCAAAACCCCTACATTTCCTCTTCAGACCTAGTGCGGCGCTGCATGAGCAACTTGATTGGCTATGCTGGTGTGCTGGCGGCCCGCTCAGTATCCACTATACACGTGATAATGCGAGCAGACCAATAGGATTGCGTTGTGCTATTCTGCACTGCCAGGTTCAGGCCTGACGCATGGTTTGTGGCGCCGGGACCTGCGTACGCCATACGTGAGTATCGAGCCATGGTGGGATTCCGGTCAAGACGGAATGCTCGCCGCGGCGAGGAGCATGTCGACCTTGATCCTGTTACAATCATGCTGTATCCTCCGTCCTGGTGAATATCGTCTGGAAACTCTACATGATTTCTATTCCAGTCTTCTTCTCGGGTATCCAATGGAACACGTTCACATTTGTCAGGTAAGGTTGCGCAAAATGTGGATATTGCAGAGAAAAAGAAATAATCCCCTAAAGTCTACGACAGATAGAACCAGTCACGACTGATTTCGACACGGCGGTGTCAAGTTCTCCAGAATTCACACTTCATGACAGTAACATCCTATGGAGAGCGATGGATAATCATGGCTTCTGCAGTACACAGTCAGACAATCAGCGCCATCGTGGTTGGACGCGGTCGAGCATGAACCATGGACGCAAATCTCGCCTCCGCGATCCTCACTGTTGGATTTCGACCAGCAGAAAAGGACAAGGTGAAAGGTGATACTGCGCAACGCACACGTCGACAATGTAACTCATCAAAACCACCATCGAAACGATCGCGTCACCACAATGAGCGACCCTCTTCCACCGGCGGCGGCGAAACCAACTTACCATGCTCCCTCCAGCAACGTAACGGCAGATTACCGCATACGCTGCGATCCGAATCCCCTTCGCGAAGACCCTGATATCGAAGAAGACGTATTCTATCGTATCACACCAGGAAGCAAGGTGACCGACAGCCAGCTAGACATTTGTGCAAGTCATTTCTCACTGTACTACGGGGTATGGAGCAGAATCGCTCGCCACAGAGTGAGGTTTTGGGCCAAGCCTGGTACTTCTCCCGGCAGTGACATCTTAAGAAAGAATTCACTGACTCCCGCGTATAGGCCACAGGATACATACTACTCGCGAACGGTTGAGGTTGCAGAGTCTGCCGGACGCAGCGCACAATGTCCTCGTGACAGCCATGACGAGACACGACGAACAAATCGGCCACTGTTTCGTCAGCCAGTGGAAGCACGGTAGTGACCGTATATGGTGGATTACGCAGCTGTTGGTGGTGGAGCGGTATCGCAACCAGAGGCGTGCTACAAAGGCAAGTAATGGTTATCGTAAAAGTTGCCGCGCAATGACTGACATGCATAGATGCTGCGAGCACTGACAATGCACTTTGATATTGGCAGACTGCCTTATCAAAGAGATTTCGTCGGAGTCACAACTCCAAACCCTTATACCATTTGTACGGTACTCCGCGTCTTCGGCCGCGGCATCGATGCGCTGCCTTCGAAGCCAGACTGGGAGAAGAGTCTCAGGCAGATGCCTCACACGCCGCTACGATATCTTAAATGCGCTCCCATTGTACACGCTGCGCCGATCGAATACGTGCGGACCGCCAGGGTCATACCGAACACACTGGTTGCAAATACGGAGTTCTTCATCGACCACGCCGACGTGGAGCATGCTCTCCGGAGGGTCGTGTACGGTATGAATAGGCAGATACAAGAACCATGGGAGTGGCTGTTCGGGGTCCTGACTCAGGGCTGTGAGTACGTGTGTGTGCTAGAGTATCGACATGATCCAGAATACACCGTGCAGTGGCAGCAGCGCAGCAACGTCAGTGTCCCGAGCGAAACTCCGTCGCAGAGCAACGCGACAGACAGCGGACCCTCAAGAGCGGTACCAGACTATCCGAGCTCCTCAGGACATGGCGCAGATTCGACCCTGTACACGGACATTGAGCAATACCTACTCCGAGTCCCGATCAGTTGTGCACTCGATCCCAAGACTGCACCCGCACATGTATCGCTCGCCCGCAGCCAGCACAAGCGCCTCGTCAAAGCACAAGCGCTCATGGACCATTATGGCTCCATGCTCGCCATGATCATGGACGCGAAGCAGATTCCCGATTGCCTTCGCGAGGCTTACCAGGCGCCCCACCTGGCCTATCCACTCCCCAAATCCATAACGACCTGGTCTGGTTTCAAGCGGTATACTGCCGGACTGTATGAGCACGACACCAAATTCGATCGCAGAATGCTCGTCCTACAAGCCATACATTTCCAAGACTTGCGTCTGCGTAACTGAGCGCTTGCGTGCGCATCCTGCAAGGACGCAGTGGTGGGAAGAGTGGGGAGAAAAGCGTTCAGCAGGACCGTTGAATTCAGCTTCACAAAACAAAAACCAGCAGCAATGGCGATCGCCATGGCGGCCGATGCGAGAGCCATCATCGGGGGGGACACAGACTCCGGATTCACGTCGTCGGCGCTAGGCCCACGATCCGATCCATGGTCGAGCCTCGCACTGACGAGGCCTAGCAGGAAATCGGGGGTACCACCGGAGACCAACAACCAGACTGAGACGACTGAGCAGGAGACGAGGGCAACCACCCTAATCTCAAGACGGACGGCAACCATGTCCAAGCCAACATCACCACCCGAGCTAACGACTCGACTGCCAGCCCCACGCGTGACAAGCGGCACGAAATCAGACGTGTTGGCAGATAATACACCGAGCCCAACGACTCTAAGCCCTCACGAACCCTTGTTCGCAATGGAAATGCCACCGTCCCAACAACAACAGCAGCGCCCAGACAAGAAACAGGCGGCGCCCTCTTCGTCTCGGGCAAACGCCCCAGAAAGCCGCCCCACGCGCTCCCCATCGTCTCGGGTCGTCCAGAACCTAGATTGCAGCTTGAGCATCGCAACGGGCTCGCCGCAGTACCGCGAAAAAACACACAGCCCGCAATTATTCTTCTCCGACGACGACGACGACGATGATGATGACGACGCCCATGACGACACCGACTACTTCCGACCTGGGATTCTTGGACGGCGCGGCCTGAGGAACAGCGGGAAGATACTGGATCGGACGAGGGGGAAGCGAGTGTCGTAGTCGTAGTTGCATGGGCGATATTGATGACGACGACAATGCTTCTACAAGCAGGAGAGCTAGCTAGGTTCGTGAGGAGGGAAACGTCGTATAAAGCGATTTTCCCCAAGCAAGGGGGCGCAGTGGCGCGGTCGAGGCAACATGAGGCTTGCGAATACGGAGGCTCGAAAAGGAAGGGGGGGGTGTCGTTGTCTGAAAGGAGTGGGGGGTATGACGCGGCTTGAAGGGGGGGGTTTTATATATACATTAGCATGAAGACGTCTTAATTCTTTTCCTGACAAAAACCAACCCTCAACAACCACTGCTCACGCTTTTCTGTAATTTGTATCCTTTTTTCGTGTCATGGGGGTAAGAAAAGGTAGACGTTTTTCATTCTAGAGATATGTTATTACAAAGACGTGTTGTCCTTTGGACGCACCAATAGCCGCTCAAAACTGAACGTCCCCAACGAACGCAAACCGTTTCATTTTATGCTAACAAAGAGACCCTGTTCTAGTACCAAAACGCAAAATTTCCAGCTATGGGCAAAGTTGTCTACAAGGCCCAGGCGGCGGCGGCAAAGACGACGGAGAGACCCATGGCCATGGCGTTGACAATGGAGACGGAGGTGGAAGCACCAGCACCGGTGCTCTGAGCGACTGAGGGGCCAGTTGGGGTGGGCTTGTTACCGCCGGCACCAGCACCAGCACCGCCGGCTCCGCTTGGGCTTCCACTTCCGCTTGGGCTTCCGCTTCCAGAGCCAGTGCTGTTGCCGCTGCCATAGCCGCCTCTCACAGTCGAGTTACCGTGAGAAGAGCCGGTAGAAGTAGTGCTGTTGGAGTTGGAGTTGGAGGAAGGAAGCGTCTTCTTGTCCTTGGGGCAGCTGAGGTCGATGCGAGCGGTGGTGGAGAGATTATCGGTAATGGCGAACTTGACCTGGTTGGCGGGGTTGGCGTCACGGAGCGTGTACCAGAAGACGTTCCTCCTGCCGAAGAGAGGGCAACCGACGTTGGTCCAGTAGGACTGGAGGTTCTTGACGCTCGACTCGGCCTTGCCAAAGTTGGGTCCCTTGTAGGACCAACCAGTCTCGGTAAGCCAGACGTCCATGCCGCGGGCAACACCGTCAACAGCGCTGAGGGCATCGCTCAGAAGCTGGCCGGCGTTGTCAATGTCGTTGTTGTGCTCAACCTCGTAGAAGGGGAAAGAGTTGACGGAAAGGAAGTCGATCTCGTCAATGACGGCCTTGTTGGACTCGTTGACCCAGGCAGTCCAGGTGTCGACGTGGGTGAACTTGACGCCCTTGAGCGGGGTGTCGGCGAGACGCTTGCGGGCTTCCTGGATAAACCTGACGATGGTGGTGGCATCGGCACCAACACCAGACTTGTTCTTGATGCCTGTGTCGGACACGCGGTAGAGGTCCTCACTACCGACCGAGATACCGACAATCAGGTCGGTCAGCTTGGTGCCGTACTTTTCAATGGCAGTCTCGAGGGCCTTGAGCTCATTGTCGATGCTGTCAGTGCCCGAGGCCCAGATACCTAGGAGGAGCTTGGTGTTTGTGGCAATGGCAGCGGGGAAAGCCTCAATAGGGGTGTCGGTCGTCTGCCACTGGATGTTGGAGTAGAGACGGATTGTGTTGAAGTTGCCGGGCGCGCCCTTGAGGTTCTGGGCCGTCCTGAACTCCTTCTCAAAGTCGGCCTGGAACTTGGCCGCGCCCGTGTCGGTCGAGGCGCCCGAGTTGAAACCGAGGACATAAGAGTCCTGGGCAACGGCGCTGCCAATGGTGGCGGCCGCAACGGCGAGAGCGGCTGTGAAACGCATGTCGAATAAAAAAGTGCGAAGAGAGCGACTAGTGGTGAAGAAACTGAACGAGTGTCAAGGGATTGTGAGAAGAGGGGAGGGTGAGGTAAGGGAAAGAGGAAGAGGAAGAGAGTGAGGGCGTGTTTGCTGTAGTATAGTCAAACGCCGGGGTTATCCCTAAAGCAGGGCGCGGCCGCTGTCGTGTTTTACGCTAACGCGAGCTGATTTCCCTTTTACGCGTGGATTAGGCCGGAATTTGACTCCTGAGGCGTCGCCGCACGTGATTGGCCCAGACGCCGCCCCGCTGTGGCACCGGCGCCTTCGCCCACGCCTTGGCATGGGCGCCGACGCCTAAGGAAGGAGCCCGCCGGCCGCCGCCTCCGCGCCTCTGCCTCCATGGCTTCGTGCCTGAAACACCACGCCGTGAGACGTCTTGCATTACCTGCATCATTTTCATCCTTTTCATCGCTTTCATCCTTTTCATCAGGGCCCCGCTGCCCGCGCCGGCCGCCAAGCACATGCACTGCCACTGCTGTCAAAGCCGGCCTCCGTCTCCCCCGGCTTCGCCCATGGCCTGCTAATACGAGAACAGCGAGCTTGTCAACAACCACTGCTAAAAATAAAAAAAAGGGACAGGCATCTGAGCTTGAGCGGCGTCGAACCTCGTCGTCGAAGCAGGCAGTATTGCCGAGTCGCATGACAGTGCTGTCGACAGCCTGTCCGAGGCAATTAGACAAATTAGACGATTACGAGAAGCACCGACACCAGCTGCCTATCCAAATCACACGCGGATTTCCCCAGAGCCAGCACAGCACGCCCGCTTGATCTGCACATGGCGCTGTCAACGTTCAACGCTGCTCAGCATAATACGCCGGTGGCCCTTCTCCCCTTTCGTACTTGGGCACCGGATCCCCATCCCCTAGTTCTCCCCCGTTACTCGCCGTGTCCAGCAGCACGTCTCCGACATCCGCCCACAAGTACACCTTGACAACTCCTGTCTACGCACAGTGTTCCACCCTCCCCATTCTCCCTTCGTCTTTCCGAATCGCTCGGTCCAGCGCATGCGAATACTGATCCCGCCGAGCCGCCCTATGACAATGGTATTCCATCACAACCTGGTCTACGAAGCTCACAGACGGACGTGACCACTCGGGCAGCGCCGCGCTGGGAACGTAGCGAATGGCATATAGGAAGCGAACGTGCTGGCATATCCGTGATGTCGCAGAGGAAAATGTAAACGAGAGTCGTTTCCTACGCACGTCGCTCTCGCCGTCTACACGTGGATTGGTTAGTGCTGTCGCTCGCTGGATGCTTGCGGGGAGGAGCCTACCACACTCGACCAGTCCGTTCAGAAAATCCTGGACAAAGTCTCCCGTTTTCTTGACCCGCGCATGAGGAAACCCAGATGCACCTTGCATTGTTGGTTCTTGTCGTATCTGTGCTTCCACGGGCATGCCGCTCCGTCTCCTTGCTTGCCGCTCCGACTTCTTCCTCTCGATAATCTCAGTCGCCCACATCTCCATCAGCCTTGTCCTCTGGCTTACGTCTCGCGCCCTGCGCTTCATGTGCTCCTGCCTCTCTCTTGCGCGGATCTCAGCCACATACGGAGAGTTGGATTGGTGCTGGTCGACGCGGTACCCCCATGCTGCAAAGTCGCCGGCGATAAACGGGACGGTTGTCAAGAACGGACGGTGCATTAGCGGTGTGTGAATGAGGTAGAGTTTTGCCCCCAAGTGCTCGATTGCTGTGGGCATTTTTTCCCTTGCTGTTGTCCGTTTCTTCCTTGGTGCCTCTTGGTCAGATCTCTTGTTATGACGATCAAGTCTCTGCACGCACAGCGAGCATGTCAAAATGAACAAAGACAAAGAGCGGACTGACAAGTGGCACGTTTGAAAAATTCCGGCTCATCCCCGTATATGTAGGCCATGTCATTATTTGGCCGTGACAAAGCTACTTCCATCAACACCATGCCAACACACACACGCGTGTTTCAGCGCTAACCGGCCAAAATTCCACTACCCGCGCGCACACAAGCCACATTTTGACTTTGAAGAGGGCCCTAACTGTCAAGAGCATGTTGCAACATAGTTTGAAGATCGGCAAATCTAACTAGGCCGCGGCAAAGATGACATGCTCTCTCCGCCCTCCTCCGCCCTGTTGATATTGCCGCTTTTGCCAAGCCCCATGCGCTGTCGCAGCCCCAGCCGGTGAGGCGACGATCTAGAAGGGCTAGCATTATCATGTAGGTACATATGTAGGTCGGACTTCCCCTCTCCCCATTCCAAGCACATGGATTTGATTAAATGATGCATACGCCACAGTTTCAGGCCTGCCGTTCCGGGACGTGCCATTGCGCTACCAAGAACCGCTTTCGGGAGGGCGTGGAAGCTGTAATTTGCCCAAGTATCTTTTTAAAGTTTCCTCCCACCGGATGACTGATTCATTCATCGGAACACTTGACTATCCGTTGGCCACATGGGTCGGAGACTTTTTAAGGAAAAAGAAAAAAAAATAAACGACTTGACGGTTCTACCGGTGTGGGCAAACGTATGTTAGGTTACATGAACATACATACATGGCGATCTTTCTTGCTGATATGAAGCCACACACCACCTTAGCCCCCCCCCCCCTTCAGTACACTCCCGTCGGCTTTGTTCTCGCTCATTTCCTTCTTTGTTTAAGCTTTCGGACAAAACCAGTACGGCTTTCCACCCGTTCAACACCCGAATCCGTTTCCGGCAATACTAACCCCCTCGAGCTAAAATACGCAGTCAGTCCGTCAGTCTAACTTTACTTTTACAGCCCTGCCGTTTGTTCCGGAACAAAACTCTCTCGCCTTTTGACGATCCCCTTTTTTTGTACTAGTGCTAGGTCTTATGTACATGTCATGTCGTGTGTCTCACGATGCTGCAACAGGTGAGGTGAACATTTGACGCACACCCACACATACATAGACACATAGACACAGACATACATCTTTAGCGGAAAAAGGAAATTAACCCTGCCCATTGCAAAACGAAGCCAGCCGATCAGCAGGACGAGGGAGCCCTTGTTAATATCAAGGATCTCGAAAAAAAATAAAGAAAAATTAAAATGCGCAAACCGTGGCTTTTTGATTTCGCGTGTGAAACGTGGCTGTTTTGGTGCAGGTTGGGTTGGGGGGGAGAAGAAGCAACTAGTTAATGAGAAGGCGAGCGAGCGAGCCAACGAGCGTTGTACTGCATTACAGTTGGATTTTGAAACAGGGGGGCAGATGGGTTGGGTGAAGAAGGAAAAGTAGTAATATCACTCCACACTCACTCCATACACATACGCACAAACACACAGAGACACACATTCTCTCTCCTATCAATCTATCGATCCATCAATCTATTATATTCCCCCTTCCATTTCATATCCACAATCTCTACTACACCTACACCTACACCTACTTCTCTCCCTCTCCCCATACATATGCGCGCGCGCCTAGTACCAAGTACCCCCATTCCCGACGTCCCAATAAAGTTCTTATATCACTCCCTCCCGCTCCGCCCCCAACAAAGTGTAAGACTGACCTACATACTGTATGTATTGTCTTACAACATTTTTGTGTATACTTCTCACCTGATAAAGTTTGCACGCGAAAAAAAAAAGTTTATTTGCTTGCTTCCCGTGGGCTGCATCACACCCCCCCACCCCTGCCGCTGTGTATGCCCGGTTCTGAGGTCTTACTCGGATTGCCTGTTTCGGTGACGCCTCATTACTCAGGGACGGGGGATAACGCTTCCCGTCTTACGGGCTGACCATGTGCTGGGTAGTCTGGCGGAAGAACCGTTTGGCTGGGATAGTATGTGGATATGTGTAAGTGTAAGTGTAGGTGTAAGTGTAGGTGTGAGCGAGGTATTATCCCATGAACTCGACACTATTGTTACAAACACAGTGGTGGTGATGAGAAGCACGCGAGAAAAAGAGCAAAAAATTCACAAGTAATAATACACTGCTATGTTTCTCACATGCCGAAACAACAGGATCGATCGTCGTACCCACACACACGCAGACATTGGTGTGTGTATCAAGGAGAGAAACAAACATGTGCACAAAATAGCATGATGAATTCGCATTCGGCAAACAAAAAAAGGTAACAAGCCGTGGTATCTCGCAAGCAAGCTGACAGAGAAAAACACCCTCCACTACACACCAACATGCAGTGATATCCTTTCCCGTACATCAAAGCTAAAACAAAACAAAAAAGCAAACTTGATCCAACAAACATTACGCGTCCGAGTGCTTTTGCCGTGTCATCTTCTTTCCCTTTTTTTTCTCTTCCATGTATGTCAACCCGCCCTAGTCTTGCAGTCATGAAGAAAAAAAAAGTAGACATGCCACTGACTCTGCCTACTTCAAAACTCGTTACAGATCGGCACTCTTGGGATTGACAAGGTAGATGTCCGGCACCTTGGGTACTTGAGGACTCTTTTGCAGAGCCAGCTTGATCGCGTCTCTTGTCTTCGTGCCGTCTTTGCCATCGCCGCCCCCAGTCAGCCTACGCATGCCACTCCTGAATCGACTCCTCGTATCCTGCGCCATAGGCCTGATCACGTTATCAAGGTTGAACGTGCCGCTCTTATCAGTACTATTAGATCGCCCGGTAGCGTACTCATCGTCAGAAAACGTCTCGCCATGCTCGTCCAGGATTGTTGATGAAAGAGAGGGGGAAATCCGTTGGGGCTGATTTGGTGCGGATGGCGAGGTTACAGAGCGGGCATGGAGGTTTGGACGCGAAGAATTGCTTGTCGGGGGCAAAGGCGAAGTAGAGGAACCAGCAAAGGAGCTGAAAGCACCTGGCGTCATGACGCCAGGGTCTCGGGCTGGTGAGAGCTTGACGTCCGATATAAAACCCGATTGAAAGGATGTCACAGACGCGTTACGCGTAAGCGACTTGTGAAGAATGGGTGCCGTCTGCTGGTCGTATAGATTTTCGCGCATGTCATGAGGGTATGACCCATTTGCAAATCGTCCCGCCGAAGAAGAAGAAAAGTCGGGCAAGTCAGTCAACGTCTCTGCGTCGTCGTCATCTTCAAAAAAGTCATCGAGGCTGTCTAGTTTCATAACTAATTCACCGATATGGCTATCGCCACGAGTGTCTTCGGATGTCATGGTTGCTGTTCGGTGGTAGTTGGACAAGGGGCTAAAGGCGAACTCCTCCTGGCGGAACTCCACCTTGGGCGTCTCCGTGTCCGTGGCATGCAGTCCGCCGTAGTTGCCGCACGTGTAGAAAACGGCATGCACATTTGCCCTCGTCAGCTGCGAATGAAGAGCGGGCATCGGGATGGACCATCCACTTTCTTCAGGGATGCCGTACAGCGACTGAGTCTTTTCAAACTGCTTCTTGTACCCTCTGGTCGAATGCGAGCCCGCCATACTCATGCGTATGTGCTGTCTGTCAAAGGGCGTGAGCGTGCTCGTCATGTTGAGATTGATAACGAAGTCGAGGACTCTCAAGGCTTGCGGGCAGTATGCGCTTTGCAAGAGTCGTAAGAGTGGCGAGAAGAGGTCAGAACCCTTCAATGCCATATCTGGCTTGCGCATGTCGATCTCGGGGATCAAAAGACACAGAGCCTCCATTGTGTTGATTTTCATCCAGTCAATCTTGTTCATCAGCAGGCCTAACAGGAAGACTAGGCTGCCGAATTCGTTCTCGGGAAAGAACGATGAACGTATTGCGGAAATGGTCTGCGCAAGAAAGTCCTTCTCATGACGATACCTCCCCATTGAAAAGGCAGTCAGGGTCTCGGTAAGCGAAGTGTACTGATAGTGCTGCTCGGCAACCTGGGCAAGCACCTCGGCGGTAGCTCTTGTGCTTGGATCTTGCACTGAAGCATCGAACGAACGAAGAAACCTTGGCAAGTTTCCGAGGATGGTATACATGAGGCGGCTGTCGTCACCCACGATCCGACTTGAAGGCAAGACCACCAGTCTCTCCAGGATCCGCAGAGAGCGATCCAGACAAAGACTCGATCGAATGCCCTTGTAGGTGAGCTGTGACAGGCCTTCGAATTTCCCCTCCCATTTCTCTGGGCAATTCTGTTCGAGGATCCGCAGAACATTCTCGTCACCTAGATCAAGCTTGTCCAAGAACCTGTCGAGCATGAGCAAGCTCTCCATGAACTCGCCTTCGTGTATTGTATCCAAACATGCGCACGTAGTCCAGAAGAGCTGTGGATATTGAATCAGGTCTTCTGGCGTTAGTGCCTCTATAATCGTTCTCAATGTCGTAAGAATTTCCATCGAAAAGGTCTGTATGTCGCTCTCTTCGTCAGAAATTGTGTTTGAAAGTCTCGCAAGCATGTCCGAGAGCATTTGTTGATCGAGCGAGCTCAAAATACACCGGAAAAGCTGAAAGGATCGACATGCGATATGGCGGACAGGGCAGGAGGTCGCCCAGTTCAGCGCCACCCTTCCCCATGCTTCTCTGAGCCCAGGGTAGGCAAAGGAGAAGATCCTCATCACCTCGCCAGCAACGTATTCCATGGGTTCAGGGACCTTTGTGGTTGAGTCGGTCGCCTCTTTGCCGTTTTCGTCGTCGTAGCTCCACACAACCTTGCTGTCTTGCTGTCGAATGCCCTCGACAAAGTCTTCAATAGACCTCTTGTCAATGCCTGGAGTGTCGTCCTCGATTTTCGAAATGACCAGCTCATGGATCAAATGTACCAGCATTTCACGAGCCTGGCCCTGCACTACATTTGTGTAGTGGTCCCATAGGACCAAGACCACTTGTAGTAGCAAAGGAATATGCTCTTTGGCAACCTCAACCGGAGATACCATGAGGTCCACGAGCAAGATTAAGCACACCTGGCCCAGAGCAAAGCCCGACTGACAAGGTTAGCGTCATACGAGTAAGTAGATTGGGTGGTACGAACCTGTTTGTTGCTGCTGGGCAAGACTTTGGTGAGATCGGCCAAGTAGGGAAGGTTCACAGCATCCGGTGGTGGTGGCATAGGCTCGCGTTTCTCGCTCACCATTGACCTGGGATTGATCTGGAGTAGCAGGAACTCAACCACCTTGAGCCCTGCAGGTGTGCTAGACAGATGGACAACAATCTGTTTAGAGTAGTCGACGTAGTTTTGCTCTCGTTTATCCAAGCACAAGTTGATGACGAAGTTCAGGATTAGCTGAACGTTGCCACCGTACGGGCCAGTTGCCAGTGCTTGCCAGAGTGCTTGGATTTCGTTGTGCAGTACATTGCCCGAAGCAAATGTAATCTCAAAGAGATTGACGAGCAGCATGTAAGAGTTTGCCGTCGGCCCGCCATCTGGATTGACCTGAAGTTCGACTGATTGTACCCATGGGAGCATAGCGGCAACCATGTTACGCTTGTGGTCAGGCTGGAGGTCTTTGAAGTAGTACGAAAATTGCGAAAAGACTAGGAAGGCGAGCTCGGCATGCTGCTTAGCGAGCCTACGTGACGTCTCAAACTGTGCGAGTTTGTACACGGCGACTGTCTTGTCCGAGATGCTGATATCCAGGTCTTGTAGCTTGGAGTTTTTGCCCTCGCGTGCTTCCAGTGTCCGTAGCAACCGAGCCGACTTCATACGTATCTGGCTATTTTCATGGCCCAGCGTGTACAGACCCGCACTGAGCACTTTCCAGAACGGCAGAGTGTAGTCTTCATGTTGCGTGAGGACTTGAGTCACGACCTCGAAATAGCTTTCGAGAGCCTTTCCAGAAGCAGCAAGATAGCACATCTCGATTGCCTTGTCCAACAAGAATGGATGCTCGCGATTATGGAGGATGAGATTCGTAAGCGCGCGGCGCCCAATAGCGTGCGTCCGGTCGCTAGGCGTCTCGAAAATGCTTTGTATCCAGGAGAGAATGCGCATAACGTCAAACTGCAGAAGGACCTTACTATCTGTCGTGATACTGACGGGCCCCCCACAGAGTGCGGCCATGGCGCTCAACGCTGCAGTCCGAAGGTCTCTTTTTTCAATCTCCAGCGCTGCTGTCGCACTGCCCTTGTTGCCTGTGTCGATTTCTCGATCGAGCATGGTGCGGCGCATTTGTTCCTCACGCTGTCGGACTTGATGTTGGTTCGCAGAATAGCCGCACCAATCTTCCATCAACGTAAAAGCAGCTTTGCGAGCTTGGAATGGCATCCAGTGAAGAGGATCCGATGTCTTGTTGATGCCTTCAAAAAGAACTTCCACCAGACCACAGTAGTGTGTTCGTAGCTTCTGGTAACGTGCCTCGAGCTGAACTTCTGTGTCGCTGAGGAATATTCTAAGGTCCTTGGTGTAGTTCATGAGGTTGTTGATAATCCAATCGTCGTTGTAAGCCTCGGGCGACCTGAGAAAGTGCTGCGCCGTCAACTTGTACACATGCGTGATCTCGGTTCGAAGATGGTCCGTTCGATAGTTCATAGGTCGCGGGCTGCTAATGGTCCTATTGTGGTTGCCCAAACGCATCTTAGCTTCCTCGGAGCAAGCAGCCACGATACCTTGAAGCGATTCGAGCAGCGTGCGGTAAAGGTTGAGGTTGACCGACCCCAGACCGATGACGGCAGCATCTCGTATAGCACTGTTTTCGACCGATAAGAATGGTAGAACCTTTGAAAAAAGTTCTGTAGCGCTGTGCATCTTATTCGTGCTCGACTGAGAAGACTTGGAACTCTTTCTCGAGTGTTGCCCTTGGGTGGTCGAGACGCCTTTTGCGCCCAAGCTGGTCAACGTTGTGAAAGCAAAGATGAGGTAGAGCTTCCACTGTTCAACCACAATCCCAGGGGCCGTGGAAGCAAGACGGCCAGTGGGTCTGCTGGTGGCAGGTTCATGCGGCGAGTAAGGGGTTGAGCGTTGTCCTTCGGCCAAGGAAGATAGCGTCCGATACATTTGAGACAGTCTTGCGCAAACAATGTCCCGAGTGAGCGTCGCAGCGAAGGGACAAGCTTCAAAACTGATGCGTACCAGATTTGGAAAAATCTTGAACCATAGAGTAGAGTCATAGGGTATGTCACTGCCACAGAGCTCCACGAGCGTACTCTGCACATTACTCTTGCGCATGCCGCGTTGCAGGCGGCTTCGCTCGGCCAAAGACAATGTGTTGTCACTAATATCCAGGACTCTTTGGGGACTGCCCTCCATGACGCGGATGATTCTGGGATTTGAGCCTCCCAGAGCCTTGTCGAACTCGGTAATGAGGCGGAGGACGGTAACGGCGTACGAACGGACACGGCGGGAAGGCGAGCACAGAAAAAAAAGACCATGAGACTCGACCTCGTCTACGTAGGCCCAGACAGACGAGAGGTCAAGCTGGGCAGCGCGGTTACCGGAGCCATCATCTGGTGTGTCCAATGCTGCTTTGCGTGTCTTTTGCTTGATTTCTTCAATCCATATCTGGAGTAGCTCCACATAGAGCTTCAGTGTGTTCTCGATATGTCCAGCTCCGAGCATGCCACCATCGGACATGGTAGCATACCGGTCGTCGAAGTTGAAGATGAATCGTGCAAAGCCAATTGTTACTTGTTGTGCATGAGACTGTCGTGCTATAGATTTGAGCGATTGAGCGGAAGACACGGCAATGCTTCCTTGAACGTGAGCAGTGCCAGTGCACAGCAGATTGACGAGAGAGTTGAACGGAATGTGCGGAGACAAGCAGCGAGGGAGAGCCTGCACAGCGACATGCAGCAGGTCATAGAAGCCTTGTCGGGGGTCCGTAGTACTTAGAAAATCCTCACGGCGGCTAAAGCTAAAGGCTTCGGCCATGGGCGTCTTTGGAGTCTGCACAGAGAACTTTTCGTCCAGCACGGCCTGTCCACCAAATGCGTTGTCGCAAATAATGGTAATTTCGCCCAAGATTTTGCAGAATCGGACATAGTGCTCCTTGGCTACTTCGGTAAACCCACTAAAATCGACAGGGCGAGAAAGACGCTCTTCCTTGAGGAGGCTTGATTTTATCGGGAGAGGATGCATAGGCCGCGGGCTGTTGGGGACAGCAGGGAGTTCGTTCGACATTGCATTGGGATCGTAGTCAAAGGTCAATGGGAACGGAGGCTGCGCAGTGTTCTCGAGGTCTGCCATGATGGCGAGGAATGAGCGGATACCGATGACCATGCGATCGGGCTCAAGGTTCTCGACGCGCAGCTCCCGACCGGACATGAACATTTCTGAGTGGAGTAGCGGGAATATGATTGTCTTGAAGCAGAGGTCCTGATACTTGTAGCCAATGATGCGCGTGAGTTGTATCAAAGGTTCTGCTATGACCGGTTCGGTGGAAAGATAGGATCGTCTTCCAGGCAAGAACACCATGCGTATGATTTCATCCAGTCGGCGCACAGCGACGTTGGGGGCCTCGGTACCTCGTCGATATATGTAGGTCCACACAAGGCGACATATACCTCGAAGGGCGATGGGTCTGGTGGCACGTTCCTTGAGTCTAGGTTGCGTCGACAGGGCCAGCGCGAGCCATTGAGAAAGAAAGACATCTGTGGGGGAGGCGCATAGAATACCCGCCATGAGGGGAAACGCTTCGTGCCAATGCTTGGGTTTGCCAAGCAGTATGGCAGCGCGCTGTTTCATCACCTCGATGACGGCCTTCCATTTGGGTGTATTGAGCTCGATTGTGGCTTTGGAGGCAACGCGCAGCAAGAGTTCCCGCAACACCTGACAGTAGGCATACTTTACCGGCTGGCCATGGGCACTGGTGAAGAGCTTGGCCATGGAAAGCATGAAGTCACATGTCCGGTCCCAGACGTCGTCGGGGTAAGAGTCGACCTTCATGTGTCTTAGCGCGCGGATCAGCAAGGCACCCTTGGCCTCATGGTCCCGGTTGTACTGATTCTTCACAGCCAGCTGGCCGTCGATGAACTTCAAGTCGGCAATAAATCTGTCCTGCACCTGCTCAAAGATGAGGCCGCTCAACACGCCAAGCAATTGGCTGTAAATGGTCCAGTTGGCCAGGTTAAGGGGCGAGATATCCACCAGCTCCGGGTCGACGGTGCTCAGTTGGCCGTAGAACAGACCCAACAGGCGATCAGCCATTTCAAAAGTGAGATTCTGAATGTCTGTTTGCGTCATGATTTCAATCAAGACGCGGCAGAGGATGTAGGTCGACACGGTGGAGCGCTGCTCGGCCTGCGTCACCGTGTGCTGTAGAGCAACGATGTGCTCGGTGGGCGACGTTATCGAGGACATGGACGGGTTCTCTGCATGGTGTGTCGACTCTGTGTTCCGTCGGGATAGCGCGGGATGCGGATGGGGTACTACTGGGCTGGCTTGCCGGGCCTTGGAAACATCAGTATGGTGCTTGTCGTCAAGGAAAAGTGTGGGGTAGGGCGTACATTGAGTAGCAGGGTGCGCTGCTTGGACGCCTCCTCACTCTTAGCCTTCCGCCATAGCATTATCGTGTCTATAAGGGGCTTGGGCTTCTGGCGAGCAATGTGCCCCAGGGCGGCTATGAGCTGGTCAAAGGTGGGGTCTACCCCGGGGCCGCACACAGCCTCGACCCTGACCTCGGGCTGGCCTCTGTCGGTCATGCACTGGTTGATCTTGTGCTCGGCCTGGCTGATGAAGGAGTTGAAGAGGTGGTGCAGGGCATACTCGCCCACCGTCTTGAGCTCGTGGGGGTGCTGGGGGTGCCGCGATTGGGAGCGATGGTGGTTGTGGCCTTTGCGCGAGGACCTCGAGCTGGGCGCCCGCTCTGGCTTGCGGTGCGAGGCATAGGCGTCGGCGGGCAGCGGCTGGACTGGAGGGCTGCCATATGGGTGTCCGGGGCCGGCGCCAGGCTGCATGCCGTTTGCAGCAAAGGCTTCGGCTATAGATTCTTGCGACATGACGGCTCCATCGAGGGAGGCACTGGGGGCGGCGGCAGCGGCAGCGGCAGCGATGACGTGGGGGCTCAGGGGGCTCGTGGCGGGCGAGTTGACGAAGCTGGTGTTCCGCGAGTGCTGTATGCCGTGGACGATGGAGGTGTTGCGATTGTGGGCGTAAGAGCCCGAGGGTTTGCGTTCGAGCGTGGCCAGGGTGCGGTCGGGGCTCGAACTGCTACTTGCGCCTTTTACGGCGGGCGTCTGCGACCGAGACGTAATTGTTCGTGACGAGGCCGTCAGGGCCCTTCCGCGCGTCTGGCTGGGCTCGCGCGAGGCGGGCGAGGCGTGGTCTATGTGGAGCGGCACATTCCCAGCAGCTGGTCGGGCTTGCAGGAGAGGGAAGGCTGCAGCACCCAGGGCACGGGGGAGCGTCAGCACACACGGTTGTTTGCACGACGGCGAGGCGGCGATGTTTGGTGGGCAGACGGGCGCAGGGCAGGGCAGGGCAGGGCAGGGCAGGACAGGGCAGGGCAGGACAGGGCAGAGGGCGGGCACAGGCAGGCATCCAGGCGCGCGCCGAGAGTGTTTCACGGTATGCTCGCACGGGTTGGCTGCGGCGGCGGCGGCGACGACGACGACGAGTGGCGGGCGGGCTGGGGGTCGGGGAGGGGGAGGGGGAGGGGGAGGGCAGGGCGACTTACACATGCCGGTGGTTTCACGTCCAGCATCTTCCGGGTGTGGGGGAGAATTGTGCAGCCCGCCCGGAGAGGCTCACGACGAAGGCAGGGCGGATTGGGAGAGGCACAGGCGGTGCGTGATGTCGTTTGGGGGAGTGGATGGCATAGGTAGACCCTTGCGCGGTGCCTGGCGGGCTAGGCCCAATGGGGGCGCAGCGATCACCCACAAGCCCCGGCTTCGTCGCGGCTCTGGAGATCCCCTCGCTCGGCCATTAAGATTACATATATGTATACTTAGTATGCACTCCCACGTGGAGCACCAACTCTGGCGTCCAGAGTTGGCGCGAGGCGGCCGCGTCTTGGGCGCGCTACAGAAATACATGTGCATGGCATGTGTGCATCCATAGTATACATGCTGGATGCTGGATGCTGGATGCTGGATGCTGGATGCTGGATGCTGGATGCTGGATGCTGCGTGCGGCGACTGCAGCTGCGACGAGCGTCACGTGCAGGGCCCGGGCTGGGCTGGGGCTGGGGCTGGGGCTGGCGAGGAAGCTGGAGCGAGGCCCCGAGGGGCAGGTTGGCGTGTGTCCAAGCCAGTATCAATGTGTGTAGTAACTACGTACGTATAGTATACTCTACATGGAGCCCGCGTGCCATGGACGGGCTGGGTGACTGGCATGTGTGTTGTTGTTGTTGTTGTTGTTGTCGTTGTAGTATGAACAATGTACATAGTTATATACACATGTGTGTGTATCATGTGTATATGTGGCGTCCAATGCACCTTGTCGATACCACGGTAACAGCGGACATGGCCGCCATGGAAAGGGGAAGACAGGGCTGGAAGCAAATTGCATGCGCGGCGGGAGGATGCGAGGCGCAATCGGACGTTGAGCGGACGGTGTCATGGGGGGGCGCGGTCACGTGGACAGGGCGCGGCCACGCATGACGACAGCAGGCATGCCTGCCAAGGGCGAGGGAGCGATAACGGTGAGGGAGGGCCAGGATACGCCGGCCACGGCGCATTTCCAGCAGCAGTCGGTCGGCTCGTCCGACGCAGCGAGCGCGAGCGCGAGTGCGAGTGCGAGTGCGAGCAGCCAAACGCAAGGGCAAAGAAAGGTACTCATACTTGTAAATGCAAATGCCATGCCCCGCCGCCGCCGGCTGTCGCCAAAAGATGGGCAAGGGTGCCGACCAGCAGGGCGGCCAGCACGAGGATGTCGAGGGTATCGAGTTGCGCCATGGTGCGAGACGAGGCGTTGGCAGCGGGGGGGGGGGGGAAAGAAGAAGAAGAAGAAGGAGAAGAAGCCACGGAGGGGCTGCGATTACACGACACGACGGTATCTAGTTGCCGTCCGAAAGCGGGCAAGCGAGAGGTAATATTTGTACCTTTGCAGCGTCGCAGCGGACCTGGTGCATCGGCTGCACTAGTGGCCGGGCGCCTCTAACGAGCATGCCAGTGCCAGTGCCAGTGCCAGAGCCAGAGCCATGGAGATTGCGGCGGACCAACGCAGCTTGAAGCCGTTGGAGGAGTTGGCGGAGCAGGTGCATGTGCGCGTGCATTGGGCACTTTTGGCATTGGCATTGTCGTTGAGCGAGGCGTAGGCAGTGGGCAGCTTGCGTAAGGCGTGGGCGCGCTGTTGCACTGAGCCACGCAGGCAGTGGCAGTGAATCGCCAGCGCCGTAGCCGAGTGCCGCCACTGGCCGCTGGCCGCTGGCTGCTCGCTGCTCGCTGCTCGCCCTCGCTGCTGGCGGGCGGACGAAGCCCTGGGCCGGAGCCGATATGCTCCGTCCCCACGCCTGACGACAAAGCCGGCGGCGCTAGGCTGCATGTGGCTAGCGGGGAGGGTGCATTTTTTGTCGGCCAGCGAGCAGGGCGTGCAGCGTGTGGGCAAAGGGCGGCAGTGGCAGCGGACCCTGAGATAGCCGAACATTGCCCGACTGGGTACTTCACAAAGGGCACCTACTGGGCCGTTGCCGTTGACCCCTACGGCACCTCGCTCGCCTCGGCTAATGGCGCTGCAAAGGCGGGCAAGACCCGCAACATCTTGGAGAAGATGGACGAGACGGACAAGAACTGCGTCGTCTTCTACGGCAGCCAGACGGGCACCGCCGAGGACTACGCCTCGCGCATCTCCAAGGAGGGCTCCTCGCGCTTCGGCCTCAAGACCATGGTGGCCGATCTCGAGGAGTACGACTTTGACATGCTCGACGAATTCCCCCAAGACAAGCTTGCCGTCTTCGTCCTCGCCACGTACGGCGAGGGCGAGCCCACGGACAACGCCGTCGAGTTCTACGAGTTCATCAGCTCCGACGAAGTCGCCTTCTCCAAGGGCGCCAGCATGGACGAAAAGCCCCTCAGCAACCTCCACTACGTCACCTTCGGCCTCGGCAACAACACCTACGAACACTACAACTCCATGGTCCGCAACGTCGACAAGTTCCTGACACGCCTCGGCGCCACCCGACTCGGTGCTGCCGGCGAGGGCGACGACGGTGCTGGCACAATGGAAGAGGACTTCCTCGCCTGGAAGGAGCCCATGTGGGCTGCCGTGGCCGAGAAAATGGGCCTAGAGGAGCGTGAGGCCGTCTACGAGCCCGTTTTCGAGGTCAGCGAGAAGCCCGATTTATCCCCCGAAGATGACACCGTTTACCTCGGCGAGCCCAACAAGAACCACCTCGAGGGCAGCCAAAAGGGCCCCTTCAACGCCAACAACCCCTTCATTGCCCCCATTGTCGAATCTGCCGAGCTCTTCAACGCCCCCGACCGAAACTGCCTGCACATGGAAATCAGCATCGCTGGCTCCAACCTGACCTACACGACCGGTGATCACATTGCCATCTGGCCCACCAACGCCGGCAAAGAAGTCGACCGTCTGTTCAAGGTCCTTGGCAAGGAAGACAAGCGCCACACCGTCATTGCTGTCCGAGGCCTCGACCCTACTGCAAAGGTCCCCTTCCCGTCGCCCACCACGTATGATGCCGCCCTCCGCTTCCACGTCGAGATCAACGCCGCCGTGTCCCGTCAACTCGTCTCGGTCCTGGCTCAGTTCGCTCCCAGCGAGGAGATCAAGGCTGAAATCGTAAAGCTCGGCAACGACAAGGACTACTTCAAGGAGCAGGTGACGGACCGCAATCTCAACCTCGGACAACTCCTCGAGCTCACCGGAAAGGGCGCTATTTGGGACAAGGTCCCCTTCTCCTTCTTGTTTGAGACCATGGTCAAGATCCAGCCCCGCTACTACTCCATTTCGTCGTCCTCGCTGGTCCAGAAGGACAAGGTCTCCATTACTGCTGTCGTCGAGTCGATTGAGAAGCCCGGCGCGCCATTTGCTCTCAAGGGTGTTACTACCAACTACCTGCTCGCCCTCAAGCAGAAGCAGCACGGAGACCCCAACCCGGACCCTCACGGTTTGAACTACGCCATTACCGGTCCCCGCAACAAGTACGACGGCATCCACGTTCCGGTACACATCCGCCACTCCAACTTCAAGCTCCCCTCGGACCCCTCCAAGCCCATCATCATGGTGGGCCCGGGTACCGGTGTCGCGCCCTTCCGTGGCTTCTTGCAAGAGCGCGCTGCCCAAGTCCAGGCTGGCCAGACCGTTGGAAAGACGATTCTCTTCTTTGGATGCCGGAAGCAGGCTGAGGACTTCATGTACGCCGACGAGTGGAAGGTAAGTCAACTGCACTATTCTGTCACCGCCCCCACTGTTGCTAACCTAGCGTGCAGCAATATAAACAAGTCATGGGTGACCAATTCGAAATGCACACCGCCTTTTCCCGCGACGGCCCAAACAAAGTCTACGTCCAGCACAAGCTGGAAGAGAATGGCGAGGAGGTCAACCGGCTGCTCGAGCAAAAGGCCTACTTCTACGTCTGCGGTGATGCCGCACACATGGCGCGCGAAGTAAACACTCTGCTTGGCAAGATCATCTCCAAGTACCGTGACGTGCCCGAGACGAAGGGAGAGGAGATTGTCAAGGCCATGAGGGCATCGAATCAGTACCAGGAGGACGTCTGGTCATAAGGAGCAGGACCAGGAATTCAAAGGCGTCTGGGAAATACGGTTTGTTGACATGCATTTTCACGGGGTAGACTTGGAGCGGGTGACGGCGTTTGATCTAATGACAGCATTCGGTCTTGGGCCCTCCTGATTTGGACTTGTTATGGATACAGTCCATTTACCGTCGTGTGAACGGGTTCCCCCTCTACATAGCCTGCCATGTGAATAGGCGCTTAGATGGATTTTGCCGTGTACTGCATGGTTGGTTGGTTTTTTTTTCCCTTTCTGTTCTAGCTGTTTAGAGATATAGCCCAGTGTAAAGAGAAAGAGTGTTTAGAGCACCGCACAATTGTCGTGCTGAGGTGAAATGGCTGGCTTCGGCTCGCCGCGAGTCGGGGTGTTGATTGGTCCAAGCCATGCATGCGGTGACTACTGCTGGGGTTGCGTTTTGCTAACCTCACCTCTTGTGCCAACCTCTATCTACGCATCCACACACAGGCCCGGCCGAAATTGGCTTTTCGTTCTACCCTTGCTGCATCTGGGTTTGGACTGCGCCGCGATAACTCTGTATGCAATGTTGTCATCACACGTGCCCAAGACGGCCCCCCGCCGTTGACGCTGCTTGCTCAGGTTGGTCGCGTGGCAAGCCCCAATTGCTCAACCGCGCAGGCAAACACGGTCATTTTTTATAGAGCGCCCACCTCATGTCTGCGACAAGACATTGCACAGCAGTCCCGGCTAAGTGTCTCGTTCTGTATCTACCTGGCCGTGCATTGCATCGACGGCGCGACTTTACCCCAAGGCCAACATGAGCCAGTCAATCACGGCCCACAACCTGACGAGGTGTGGGGGCGACTCCCCTTAGATTTGGTTGAGCGCCATGGTTCAAGACACCACGAACCCTCCTGCACACTGCATGGCTTGACCACTTCTGCCTTTGGTACGACTCGGCAGACGCGACTGGAAGAGAGGGCACTCGGCCTCGTCTCTGCCCCTCCCTTCGAATGTGGTAGCGAGAGGATCCGAAATCCGGGTTTGAGGTTGAACCAAGTAACCTGGTGAAAGCCGTCACGGAGCAGCGCCCAAAGCAGCTCTGGACAGACCAAGAGAAGTCAGACGCGGGTCACATGTAAATCATGGGCATGCAGCCTCGAACGCCGCACAGCATGCCAAATGGCTCGAAGAGCTCTTACAGGCAGGCATGCCGTGCAGAGCTGAGGAGCCATGGTACCTTGAAGCGCCACTCTTGCAGCCCCCCCCCGGAGACAGCAATCCCCTGGGTGCTTTCCGCTCAATAGCAGCTGGCCTCTTACTCTGCGATGCTGGCATATAGTCTCCAGACCAACAAGTCAATCTTTCGACAGCCGACCAGCGGCTCGGATAGCTGCGTGTACCGGCATATGCGACACGGTAATCCCTTCTGTTGCGCCCGCGCAACATGCGAGGAAGCGGACGACTCTCCATTCGTGAGGCCTGTATCACTCAGGCCGACTCTGTCGGTTCAGTTGACCGCCTGCCCAGCGGTTTGAGAAGGCCATGTACGCCATGCCAGTTCGTATCGTCTTTGCTATTAGCTGCTCTGGGAGTGTGTTCCATGTACTGACCCAAACTTGATAGTACTACTCGTCGCTATCTTGAGACGGCTCTTGTACGCACGTCGCGGGCTTGGTGCGCGTCTCATAAGAGGGTCATGTTTCCTACACTGCTTGAGGGTGGGCTGGGTACCAAGGCTGCGGAACCGCCCCTTGCATCTGCATTACCGTTGCAGATAGCATGCGTCAAGTGGCTGCCTCCGCAAGCTGTCAAAGAGAGAACTGCTGGCTTTAAATTCGGCGTCCGACAGGCCCTCATTGCGTAGACACGATCCACCTCGAGCTCCTGATGTGCACACTCACCGACGGCATTGGCTACACTGCGCCGGCTCGTCGCGCGGGTTACAAGCGTGCTCCACATGCAACGGCCTAGGGGCCATTACAGGCCTTGCACAGGTTGGCACCAAGCTGCTGAGGGTATATGGCAAGAGAAGTACCCTGCTTGTGTAGCACCACTAGCACGACGCATGCTGATGGGCCCTCAAACAGGAGTCATTTACCTCTAGAGGCAAGGAAAGTGTCTCTGGACAGCGCAGAGTACCTGGTAGGGAGGACACAGATGACGAGACGACGACTCGACTGCTCACCGTCGAGGGGAGCACGCCGACTCTCCGTGGCTGCGAAGAGGCTTGCTATCCACCACCCAGCCACGGGAAACGACTTGCACGAGCCATTGGCATGTTGCGGCGCTCGTCAGCCCTGCTGCAAGGACGGTATGGCTGCATTCGCCGTTGCCTGGGTGCGAGTCTGGCTGCTGCGGGGGGAGGGGGAGGGGAGCGCCTCGTCATCTGGCTGCTACACACGCTCATCCCGGGGAGACGACGGCTGCGTCCGTGGGAATGCACGCAAGATACACGACGGCTGCTACCGCATACTATTACAGCCTGCGTGCTGCGCTTCTAATGCCACATCCTCCAACGTGCAGATGCTCAACACATGCCGCCCACAAGGGATATAATAGCCCAGCATTCCGTCACTGCGACGACGGCACTACAGAGCATTGCACGTTCCATTGCAGGCACCTTTTGATATGAATATTTCCAATAGTTCTTTCCATAGTATTCTCTAAGACACTTGGGCGGCGCGACACGCAGACGAAAGCAGCTGGAATTGGACTGCCATTGCCATTGCCATTGCCACTGCCACTGCCACTGCCACTGCCACTGCCACTGCCATTGCCCTTGCCCTTGCTGTGTGCTGCGGTATCTGCTCCATACCTTGTTCAGAAAGCTGCGTAGTTGGCAAGGTCAGTCTGTCCCTCTCCCTCCCTCTCCTTTCTTCCTTCCATCTCCCTCTCGCCTCGCCTCGCCGCCGCCATGTTTGCTGCTCCGCGGCTTCCCTGTCGAGGCCGAGGCTTCCCTGTGCATCGAGGCCGTCTCGTCCACCACCACAACACCGCCGTAGCTCTTGCCTCTTCTGCGACGCCCGGGCGCCGTCCTCGGGTACCACATCTTGCTTCATCCCCCCCATCTCTCTCCTTCTCTCCTCCACTCTTCTTCGCTTCCTTCTCACCAGTACGCATCAGTGGCCACATTCTTTGTAGCTTTTCGCAGGTCAGTCATGCATTCACCCTAACCCTGCGGATTGCCTCCCCAGTACGCACCATGCTGAGACTGACTGATCGCCAGCTTTGGAGTCACTACCAGCCCCCCGCACATTGCAAAAAATTTGACATTTACGACCTGGTAAGTTCCTTTCACCGTCGCACCTTGCCCTTCACATTCACCGTCTTGGCACAAGACCGCCCCTGAGCTCCCTCCCGCACCAAGCCATGAGATCCGCTTTTCCTCATCCTCACCGATCACCGTTTGAGCTCACCTTGGCTCGCCCACTACGGCAAAAGCTAACTTCATGGTCAGAGCACCGTTCTTCTCTGCATCTCAGTCTACCTGTTCGCACCAGTTGTTGAGAGACCACTTCTTCGTCGCCGTCGCCCTCAGGCCCACATAAACCAGCCTACACACAGCTATCCGTAGCTCTAGGGCCCAGTAACAAGCTCTCGACTAGCTGCTTCTTTTGTCTCCACTCCGAGTCTCTTGCCTACTCACTACAATGGCTACCAACGGTCGTCAGCAGAACTACGTGGCTCCCACTGCGGGATACAAGGGCCAACACATGCTCAATAGCCAAGGTCATGGGTCCGCCCAATACCTCCCCCGAGGTCTGCCGATGTCCCTCCACGGTGAAAATGGAATGCAAACTCTGACGAACAACATGGCAGCCCTCGGCCTACACGCTTCGTATGGCTCATCCGCTACCTCCAAGTCCGCCAGCTCTGCCCTCTCTGGTGGCTCCTCCGACTACGGCAATATCCCGCTATCCAACGGCCAAGGACTCTGGGTCCCGAACCAGCACGTCATTGGATCCATGTACCAGATGATACCTGGTGCGCAGCATCAGGCTGGCATGACCCCCTCTCCAGGCATGTACGGCCATGCTGGTGCCTACGTGCAGCAGGCAGCATATCAGTACGGCCAAGGCGTCGTCGACAACAGCCCTGTGCCCCCAGCTTGGGCAGCTCGCATGTCCTCCGCCGAGATTCCGTCACTCATGACGCCCCGCCGCGACTCCATCTCTTCCAATGAGAACGACAACCCAGGTACACCCTATGGCAGCGGCGGCATATACCGCTACGGAAACAACACTGCCATCATGGATCGCTCGCCCAACGCGCTTTACACGAGCAGTGCTACCCCCTCCCCGTCACAGTTGACCCATCCATACCAGGTCATGGCCCCCATACAGAAGCAGCAAGCCATGCCCACGTTGCCTCCCCATCTGTTGGCATTAGTGCATCAGGAGCCTCCTATCCCTCGAGCTATTCCCGCTCCTAGCTCTCCGCATAAGCCACTCGACCGTAGCCTGGAGAACAAGACCGGTGAGACCAACGTCTACATTCGCGGTCTGCTTCCCGAGACCACGGATGAGATGCTCCACATGTGGGGAAAGCGCTTCGGAGATATCCAGAGCTCCAAGTCCATCATTGACCTCAAGACCAATCTGTGCAAGGGGTAAGTGGCCTCTTGTCAATTGCATTGCCTCACTGACTGACTATTGGGTACAGGTTTGGCTTCATCAAGTACCACAATTTTGAGGATGCTGAGGACTGCATCCGCGGCTTCCACTACCTTGGATACGAAGTCAGCTTCGCTCGTGTATGTCGAGGTTATCTTGGTGACCATTGCGACTTGCTGACTCTTTGCAGGAATCCTTCTACTCGAAGCTCAAGAAGTTCGCCGACGAGAGCAATACCAATCTTTACGTGTCCAACATTCCCAAGAACATGAATGAGCATGTATGTAAGGACAAAGTTATTTATCGTTTCACGTCAATAACAGGATTCAGGAACTCGCCTCCATCTTCGCGCCTCACAAGGTGTGTTCGAGCAGAATCCTCCGCGACTCTTCTGGCACTGGTCGGGGTGTTGGCTTTGCTCGGTGAGTTCTCAAACATTCCATCGGCACCCGTACAGTACTGACCCTCGCCAGCTTTGAGTCTCGAGATATCTGCGACCAGGTCATCAAGGAGTTCAACAACACTCCCGTGTCCAAGCCTGGCGGCGAGGAGCATCTGATCCAAATCCGCTTCTCCGATACCCACGAGCAAAAGATGCTGAAGCAACAGACTGCTGCTGGCCGTGTGTTTCGCGCCGCAGAGTACGAAGTAGGTGTTGCTCAGGCTAGGGCACTCGGGACGCCCGACCGTTACCTTTCTGCATCCCCGATTTCGGCAGGCCACGCCAATGAGTTCGAGATGTTCATGCGCGGCCAGCGGCAGCCATGGTCACCACCGGTACCATCTACTCTAGGCCCTGCTCGTTCGTCGGTATACTACATGCCTCAAGGCGGACCCATCAAGAGCGATGATGGTGCTTCGGAGAATGGTGTCGAGATCAAGACCAACCCAGCGACTCCGGTCAAGGCTGATGACAAGTCTGCCTCACCAAGCCGGTTCTCTAGCCGCAACGACTAAACGCACATCTTTCCAAGTCGACTGCCGACACTGCCCTTCATGTATGCCCTATTATTCATGATCGCTCCATCAACATCAACCTGTCGCGTCGTCTTGGAGACTTCTTGGGCAACAATCATCCACTATCAACATGCCACACGACAACACTCTATCAGATGCTCGAAGCTCTCGTCATTCATTTCTGAAGCTCGTTCTGGCCCTTTATCTTAATATGACCGGGCTCTTAATACTCTTGTTCTTGGTCTCTGCAGCTTGAGCACATCCTTCTTATCGACACAAGTCTCGCGTTTCTCTCAAGCGCTGTTTGGGCGGCTTCTTCTTCACATCTTAGAAGTATGTTTTAGCATCTGGGCAAACCAGCGAGTGGAAAAAAACATGTTAGGGTGGTATTCAGTTTATCTCTTTCTCATCGATGGCGAGGGTAGGTTTCAGCAGTGGTGGTGACTAGGTCTATGGTCGGATTTGCCGTAGCTTCGATAGTTGGTCGTATGATGTGTCTTCTTCCAGTTGTTGCCTTTGACTATGCTGTGCTTTGATGGTGATTGTTGAATTCTGTTTCTTGGTGATGAAAGACGGCCCAAGGCCTTGTCTGTCGCTTGGTACTAGCATAATGGGTTTAGTTCGTTTGATTCGATTGCTGTTGTATATTTGCATATACAACGGCCAGCCTCGCATCCCCGTCTCGCGGACCTATCTGTTGATTACAGTGGTTGGGAATAGAGAAGAGGCAACGATGGCGAGATCGTTGAGAGGTCAAGACAGAGAGACAGAGAAAGAGCAAATGGTAAGCCGTAAATCTATTAGGATGCCCAAAAGTGCTCCTTGCGCACAGATGCTGCGTCTGTTCTACAAACGATGGAAAACTAAAAAAAAAGGACAATCATCAAGTCGCCTTTCTTACTTTCCGTCTTCTTTCTCTCTTTTCCCATATCTCTTGGCTTCACATCACATTGCTCAATCCTCCCATTCCGGATTCTGTTGTCATTCGCGTTAGTAATGAACTGTGTATCCTTTCACGTCCCGACAGAGTGGGAAAGGGGGAGGAGGGGCTATCTTACCTTTCGCAGGATGACCACACCTTCCAGTACATTGGTCAAGCTGAGATACTTCTCGTCTTCCAGCTCCGCCCTCTCGCCGTGTGCCAGCAGCACCGGTGTGCTCTGTGTCTGCCACCCGGTAATCGTCTTTGGTCGGCCAGCCTGACCCACAACGTCTACTGCTTGACCAACGCGGACGTTGACTGTGAGCGGCTTGAGCTCCTCGTCCAGTGTGATGAGGAAGCGTGGCGACATGGCGGTGGCCAGGTAATAGAGCAAGTAGTGTGAATCACCAGCGACAAAAGACTTGGCATCAATCAGAGACACCAGGACGGTGAGGAGACCTGAAGCCGCAACGCGAGACAGGACTTGTCGGTCCGTGTGGAAGGGATTGAGTGAGAGCGTACCCTTGCCTGCGTGCAAGAGACCCTGTGCTATGCGCACCATGAACAAGGCGTTGGGGTCGCGGTGGTAGTAGCTGGCTAATTGGCGGAGAAGCTGTGCAAGACGAGCGTTGTTGGTACCAGCACCGCAGAGACCCATGGCAAAGATGGCGTTGATGGCGACATCGTTATCATTGTCGTGCGAGTATCGCGAAAGAGTGTCGTACACCTTCATCTGTGGGTTGCTAGGGCTGATGAGACCCAGGGCAAGAGGCACAGCCTTGCGGATGTTAGCCTCGCCGTAATGCATCAGGTGGCCCAGGGTGCGTAGGATCATCTCTTGGCCAACATCCTCGCCCATAGCAACTAATGAAAGACCAATGACAGCATATGATTGAAGGAGCTCGTCGCCCTTCTTCTCTTCGCTCTCGTCCTCAATGTGCTCATTGCAGATGTGAAGCAGTTGCTGAATCTTCAACACTGCACCAGTACCCGCCCACGCACACACTTCAGTGAGCACCGAAGCTGATTTAGCCATGGGGTGGTCAAGCGCCTTGAGGGTTTCCAGGATGACATCAACCTCTTCTTGTTGGCCAAAGAAGAGAAGAGCGAGACCGAGGGCCATGAAACGAGTCCACTTGTCCTTTAGTTGCTTGGTCCGGTCCTCGTCCAAAAGAGTGTTCATCAAGGCATCCGTGACATCTCCGTTGGCCGAGCCGACGAAGATCATTCCCAAAGACAGCGCTGCCATGGCGGAGAGCTGCATGTCGAGGCTGGTGTCACTAACAACGGGCAAGAGCACATCGAGAAGGTCCTCCTTGTTCGATCCCGCGTATGCCAGACCCAAACCCATAATCGCAGCCAGGCGAATGTTCTTGTTCTTGGAATTTATATTGTCCTCGTCACCCAACAACGCCATAGCCGGATCGGAGTCCATGCGTACTCCAGAGTTGAAGATACCAGTGGCAAGCATGGCACCAGCCTTGACCATGTCCTCGTCGACTTGGGTGTAGGGGTCAATCCTGTCAAGACCCTCTTCCACATCCCAAAGCATCAGCATACCCATGGATGCGGTTGTTGAAAGCATGCCCTCCTCTTTGGTCTTCCATACCCAACTGCTCTTGGCGTCGCCCAGCATGAGCTTGTCGTTGGCATAACCCGTGTTGACAAATGCGTTGACGAAAGCCGAAGCGAGGTTGTGTCTGGCGGAGTCGGTATTTGTGAGGCCGGCGGTCCTGCTGCTCTCAAGGTGTGTCTTGTAAATGTCGTCGGGAGACTTTGGGTCGAGAATGTTAAGCTCCTTGCCCAGTGCCCTGAAGTGATCAGGCAGGCGTGTGTTGTTAAGGCACTCCTGCAGCTCAGGGTCTTCGTCGTCGGACACATCGAACCATATCCGCTGTCGCGCGCAGAGGAAAGCCATTTGCCTGCGAATGGACTTGTCCTTTGTGGCATCAAAAGCCTCTTGAATCAGCTCCTTCTCGTGTAACCGTATCGCAATGGCCATGGCCTGGGTGTACTGCTTGTATTTGGCGTAGATGCGGTAGGTGGTGCGGAGGAACTTGTCGTTGTCCGGGTATGTGAGAAGCGGCACGTTGCTGCCATGGTTAGTGCAGTTCACATGGGTGGATTTGCAGCAATGGCATACCTGACCATGTAGAGCGCCACTCTCGAGTACGTGTTCTCGTCGACGTATTGCTCAATCTGGTCAATCATCTCCAGCTCGGACAGAATGTCAACGGCATCGGCCTCTGCGTTTAATTTTTGGACGTCTGGTGAAGCAGAGGGTCTGAGCACGCGCCGCCGCCGCCAGTGCTCATCATCGGCGGGCGGCGGACTGTGCTTGGCCCTAGCGCGGCGGAAGTGGTACGCGAACGCAAGAGCTGCCTCATCGCCATCCATCCGCCCCATTACCACTCTCCCCCACCTCTCTGGCTGCTCCCCTTCATTTGAGCGGCGCGTATACATCTCACCCCTCTCACCGCAGCCCCCCGTCTCCCCCCAACACCTGCTGTCGGCGCCGCCCCATCCCCGCACGACACAGACATCGTTCGCCGCCTGCCGCAGCGATACACTGCAACCACCATGGCCAAGGACGACGACAAGAAGCCCACGGCTGCCGACAAGGGCAAGGGCAAGGCGCCAGCTGCCAACGACGCCGACAAGAGCAAGGATGCAAAGCCCGACGCCGACGATAAGAAGGGCGGCGTGGCGACGACTGGCGGTATGTTTGGCCTGCACCCGAGCCGAGAGAGCTCGCATCGTGCACGTGTACTGACAGGCCGCTGCAGAGGAGCTCAGTGAAGAAGACCAGCAGCTTAAGAGCGATCTGGACATGCTCGCAGACCGGATACTGGTACGTGGCTCTGCAATGCCCGTGGCTGCACCGCCCCGCAGCATGCGCTGACCGTGTGCCTCTCCCAGGGATCCGACACGAGCCTGTACAAGCCCGCGCTCGACCAGATCAAGGAGTTTATCAAAACATCGACGAGCTCCATGACGGCCGTGCCCAAGCCGCTCAAGTTCCTCCGGCCGCACTACGAGAACCTAGAGAAGGCCTACGCATCATGGCCCGCAGGCGAGAACAAGGTACGCAGCCAAGCCCATCTCAATGAGAGTGAGGCGGCGCTAATGCGAGCAGCAATCTTTTGCCGACATGATGTCCGTCTTGGGAATGACGTATTCAGACGAAGAGCGCCTCGACTGCCTCAAATACCGCCTCGAAGCTCCCTCGACAGATCTCGGCTCATGGGGCCACGAGTACATGCGCCATCTTGCCCTTGAGATTGGCTCGGAATACCAGAACCGCCTCAATGACGACAAGTCGACCGACGATGTGACGGACCTCGCCTCGACCCTCGTTCCCTTCTTCCTGAAGCACTTGCCCGCCCTCGCTCCCCCCAGCAACCGCCGCCGCCCGCCCCCCGGAAGGCCTTCGGACAACCCGCACCATGAAGCTGAACGTCAAGAATATTCGCTACCTGGCGGCCGACGACTGGCGCGTCCTGACTGCGGTATGCGCCCGCACTCCTCGTCTTCGGCTCGTGGTGGGGGAGGACAAGCGCTGACCAAGACCATGAAAACAGACAGAAATGGGCAGTCGAAACCATGAGATTGTGCCGACGCCTCTGATTGCGCAGATTGCCTCGCTCCGCTCAGGCTCCGGCGTCCACAAGTGCATATCCAACCTCGCCAAAATCGGCCTCATCGCAAAGGTCCGCAATGCCAAGTACGACGGCTACCGCCTGACGTACGGTGGGCTCGACTACCTCGCGCTGCACACGCACCAAAAGTCGGCGACCGTGTACTCGGTAGGCAACCAGATCGGCATAGGCAAGGAGTCGGATATCATTGTCTGCGCATCCGAGACGGGCAAGCAGCAGGTGCTCAAGATCCACCGTCTGGGCCGCATTTCGTTCCGCACAGTCAAGGCGAACCGTGACTACCTCCGAAACCGCCAAGGTGGATCGTGGATGTACATGTCTCGCCTCGCCGCATTGAAAGAATTCGAGTTCATGAAGGCGTTGCGAGCAGAAGGTTTCCCAGTGCCCGAGCCCATCGGCCAGAACAGGCACACGGTCGTCATGAGCCTTATCGACGCTTTCCCCATGCGCCAGATCTCCAAGGTCGGCGATGCCGCGCCCCTCTATGCTGAACTCCTTGCCCTCATTGTCCGTCTTGCGCAATACGGTCTTATCCACGGAGACTTTAACGAATTCAATATCCTTGTGGAGGAGCGGACAGAGAAGGACGGCAAAGTGACACTGGTACCGACCATTATTGATTTCCCACAGATGGTTTCGATTGACCACGCCAACGCCGAGTACTACTTTGACCGCGACGTAGCCTGCATAAAGCGCTTCTTCGAGCGCCGTTTTGGCTTCACGAGCGACGAGCCTGGCCCCTTCTTCAAGGATGCGACAAAGAAGCTCGTTAAAAGACTGGATATCGAGGTGCAGGCCTCTGGTTTCAGCAAGAAGATGGCAAAGGAGTTAGAGGCATACATGAAGGAGCATGGCGTTGACGGAGACGCTGGAGACGCTGAAGCAGCGGCTGACGCAGACGGGCCTGCTGACGACGATGAGGACGTGGGTGTTGAAAATGACTACGAAGGCGGTGAAGATGACGACAACAACGAAGGTGGTCCAGTCGTTGAAGACATGTCCACTGAGACTGAGCATACGGAAAACGACGAGCAGCATTCCGCCCAAACACTCACTTCGCAAATGACAATTCTCGACATCAGGGACAATGACCCCTTGCCGGATCTCAACGACATCAAGCCTCCTCCGCCATCAGGCCCCACAATCACAACAAAGGCAGCCAAAAAGAAAGCCGGATGGGCCTTGTAGACTGGTTGGACACGCACCTTTATATTCATCCTCTTCCTCTATTCCAGCGATACCCACGATTTCATGGCACGCTTGGGTGCTTGCATCTACAAAGGCCTTTGAGATGTACATAGACATGAAAAGAAAGACGAAAAGTAACGCCCTCGCATGATGACTGCACCATCAAAATATACCCTTTTACCCATCCAATGAGATAACTGACCCAGTCCAAATTGAGATGCACGTGTCTTCTTCCATGACCATGTCCATTGACACATTTTCACCCCAACAAAAACGCATCTACGAACATGCCTTCTCTCCCCAATTGCTCTCGAGCCTTCTTCTCCTTGTCCCGCCTCGCCGCCTTCTCCGCTTCCTTTTCCTCCTTCTTGCGTCTCTCCCTCTCCCTCTTGTCTTCCTTCTGCACCTCCTTTTCCTCCTCCCTCTTCAAATCCTGATACGCTCTGTACCATTCCGGCGCGTCCTGGGTGCCCGAATCGTGCTTGGTACCGCCACGCCAACGCAACGCATGTGGTTTGGAAGCGCGGGTAGGTCCCGGCGTCTTGCGAGACATGGAGTGGAATGCCGAAGTCGAGGGCGAAAGACCCGCCGCCGACAGAGATGCCAGCGTGGGACTGCGCAGGTTGAACGTGTGATCCGGCGACTGTTCTTTGACTTCACCACGCATCTTGCGGCTGGGGAATACACATGGCGACGTTGGCGATGTGGCTGGCGACATGCGCGCGCGTGGTTTCCCCGGCAAGGCAATCCCACCATCACCACTTACTTTTGCTGCAGCCGCAGCTCCTTGTGCTGAGCTGGAAGAGTCGCCCGATCTATCTTCTTTGGCTTCTGTTGGCCCTGGTGCTACGATATGGTATGGAGAAGACAAGGTGCTCTGCGTGAGTTCTCGCGGCTTGGAAATCTCAACCTCGAATTCATCTGTTCGGGTGATGATACCAGTGGGGAACAGAGCGCCTTTTCTCTTGTCAGCTTTTTGCATCTGCACGCCTCGTCGGGCAAAGGACGGTGGTGCTAGGTAGCGGGACATGAGGCCGGACTTGGGTCGGGGCTTTTTCGTCGCATGAATGGCGACTTTGGTCTCTGCTTCTGCGCCTGGCTCATCTGAGGGCTGAGAAGGCTGTGGAGGAGGAGGAGGAGGAGGAGGAGAGGATTGATCGGAGTGATTTGCATATGGAGCAGATTGGGCCAGGGGAATTGGGTAAAGGGGGGCCATGGTGAGTAGTAGGGAGCGAGTTGTAGTTAGAGAAGCGGGTTTGGGGCTTTTGGCAGGTAATATACCGAGCAGATTGAGAGTGAATTGAACGTTTGGCTGCTAACCAGCCCCCTTCATTCCGTGACGTGATTTTTCTCTCCTGCTATTGGTGCACACGGTTTCACTCTGCTTTGTTTGATAATGTGAGAGGTACCTGGTGTATGTGTTACCTTGTGACATATGGAGGATCTTGTTTTCGCAACATGTAACCGTTTTATATTGTAAAATTGTTGAGATTGTGGGATTCATGGCAAGGGATGTGTTGATCACTCCAACTAACTGGTGAGTTTGTTTAGTTGGGCGTTCACTTCAATCGTTGACTTGCTGTCGCATCATCCATTACCCTCAACTTCCCGTCCTTCTCTTTGCCAGAGTCCTAGTCTCCCCTATCACCGACAAAAGCTCTTACTTGACACCAGCTGCAGTCGCTTAAACTGCGGGGCTCCACAGCCAGATCACCACAACCCTTTGAATAGACGAATCAGGTAGCGAGCCAGCACTGTGAGTCCTGGGCTTCGTCCGTCCACATGCCCCACGGGAGGTTTTAAGTGGGGACGCTAGTTGTATACGATAGAATGAAACGCGACACCTCTGACACGTCGAGATACACAGCGTCACTGGACGGATAGTTTTGTCCCTGTCTTTAGACAGTGTAGGTGTGTTAGCGTAGAAGTGTACAGGTGTCCGTCGAGTACGCTGGTGGCTGTATGAGATAAAGCATCTTGTAGCTTTGTGATTGTGGGAAAGTTGCAGTAGAGCGGACCGAGATTTATCTGCCAGGTCGTATACTCACTGCGTTACCAACAAGACGGCTCAGAACCATATCTTGATCAGCTCCTCCGCAACTGCAGGCGGCGTGAGGACGCCAGACTCTGTGATGATTCCAGAGATCAGATCGGGAGGCTATTCGAGTTAGTACATGGGGGAACTTGATGCGAAAATGCGAAACCTACCGTGAAGTCAACAGCGTCATGGGCGTCGAGCGGAGCCACTTTCGAGCCTTGTGTTGTCGTCATGTCGGCAATAGCCTCGTCGAAGACATTGCGTTGCTCCTCGCCCTTGGCCTTTTGCTCCCCTTGGGGCTCCTCTGCCACCTTGAAATCCAGAACCTTCTGCTCAATAGGTAGGTCAAATTGGCTAAGTGGATAGAGCCTGACAAACTTGTGACTCTCAGTGACTACGTAGAAAGGCTTTCCCTTGCTCTTGGCCAATATGCTCAGCTGGTATGTGCCCAAGCGTGAGATGATACCGCCGTTCATAACAACGCCTTCAGCTCCCACAATGACCATGTCGACCTTGCCCAACGAGTATGCGACTGCAGAGTCTGGAATTGTGGCTACCGGCACGTTGTGTGCGCGAAGGTCGGCAACAGTCTGTAGGGCTTCTTTCGAATCGAGCGAGCTTGCAGAGGGCAGGACGTATATAACCTTGAAGCGCAGGGTGCTTGACTCGGCCGCCCTTCTTAGCAGCGCACCCACTACTCGCGAGCCACCATTTGTAAGAACCGTTTTGCCGTCGCGAATAAAGTCCTTGCCAAAGCGGGCGATGTTCTCTCTGCTCTGCTTTGCTCTGTCGACGAACAGCTTTCCGTTGGAGAGCAGGTGGTTCCGTATCGCGCGGAAGTCGTCGTCTGGGCCGAGGTTGAGGCTGGCGGGGCGGTTGAGCGTCGTGATCAGGTAGCGCTGGAACAGGTCGGTGCCGGCAGATAGTGAGATATGGTTTGCGATCGAGGCCTTGAGCGCCGCGGTATGTCGTTCAAGAAGATCTAGAGTCTCGGCGACGGTTGACACGGAACTCTGTGCAATGGCTTCCACGAGTGCCTCAATGGCAGCCACGGGCATGGTAAGCTCAGGGTCATCTTGGAGGATTCGCCGGTAGGTTGCGACAACATCAAAATCGGGCTTCGTCGTGGCACTCATGTTGGCGGTGGGCTGCGGGGTGCTGGCGTTTGGCGAACTTTTGGAGATAAATATGGAGGGGCGGCGGGCGATTGAGTCATTCGCCAAGACCCGAGCATTGGTTCCCTTTGTGGCATCCCCAACCTTTGTCTTTGATCTCCTAAGATTCTTGGATGCAAAGACTATCCAACGAGTGCGTTTCAAGGCGCTGCGCGAAGATGACAGAATGCGATATTCAGCAGACTAGAAGCATTCTCAATTCAGATATTACTACACTCAGCAGCGCGAGCGGCATGCGGTGGGGGGCCGGCAGGGCTTTGGGAACCGTGGGATATCTACAGCCAACCGTGGACCACACATCGCCTCGCAAATCAGCGAAACGAGGATTTGCCATGCTCATTGCACGTACGCTTCCTATATTTTTGTCGAAATATTTCAGCATGACCAAGTACAAAAGTGTCCGTCAGTTCAGTTGGCAGTATCACAGCACCCGTCCTTTCTTACTTTGATTCATCTGTATTATAACTCCATTACCCATTTTCGAGCTTGTCCAAAAACTTCCTTTAGCTGGCTAATCCAAATGCCTCGTTCTGAGAAGGCGAGTAAAGTCTCGCAGCTGGTCGACTTTTACCAGAACACAGCCACACCTTCAGCTCCTATTCCAAAGAAGCCCACAAGGAAGACGCTTGCCATTGAGCCAGGCCCATCTCCAGAAGCGGATCTTGTCAAAGATACACCGAATCTCCAGGAACTACCCAAAGCCAGTATTTACGACTTCGATGGAGATAGCACAGCAGTACCCTCCTCTGTTTCTTCGCCGCAAACGCCAGTGAGAATGAGGAGTACGTCTTCTTCGGCATCGCGCGACAATACTATTAGTTTGCCGATTACAGTGACTCTCCCAACCGAAGCTGATCGTAAGGACTACCGGGTGGAGGTCATAGGGTTTACACGAGTCTCCGTTTATTCGGACGATGCACCCGCGGAAGGCTTCGGGAGCATAATTTCGCACCCATATACACCCTTTTGTATGGAGCAGACGTCAAGGACACTCAGCAGGTCTACGTCAGCGCAGACATCATCTGGGTTGACCCCTGACGAGAATCGTCACTTGCTCAATAAGATGACATCTGAGCGGCAGCTAGTGCGGCCCGCACCGGAAGAGCAGATGAATCATACGATACACTCAGCGTACGGATTGGTCTGTCCTGTGGGGTGGAGAAGCTTCAAGGGTGACAACTCAGACACGCAGTGTTCTCATTCCATGTGCTCGCACGCCATGAGCGAAGCGCGGCATGAATCACTGGCTCAGGATCATATCCCAGCGTTTACTCAGATCATCATGGCCCAAAGAAACCTCCAAAGGTATGCAAAGGTATCACAATCAGCTCAATCCGTTGTTGATGACGTTATTGGGCCGGACTGGGTACTGGGCGACGAGGGACAAAAGACGCCTGTAACACGCAGCATGACTTGCCAGGATATACCCAGAGACCGGCGCAATAGCTTGGATACCTTACAGAGTGTTGGTTTGAAGGACAAGCTGCGCAGAGTAGGCCGAAAGTTTAGAGGTTCCGGGACAAACGGCAAGAGTACGTCACAGGATTGATAGGAGGCGACGGTCGGTACTTTGGAGCTTTGGTCAGGGTATCAGTGTTTATATTCTATTGATATATGTATAGGGACGGCTGAATGATATTGTTTAACCAGATGTGCAACATGCAGTGTTGTCATATTTGATGACGCATTTTACATGGGGCTCAACGTCATAGGCCAATGGAATTTCAGGGCCTCGATGAATACGTCTCACATGATGAAGGCGCAGCTTCGTACACAACCAAACAATACCCTATTAGAATGCAACCCGGGCCAAGATGGCTGCAAAGGTAATGCAGATCGCAACTATTCTGAACTAGTTTTCAGACGTGCAACTGCTCTGTTCATCCATTGTTCGCCGCTCATCACACCACACGCGCGTCACTTGGTCGACTTTCCGTGCACCATGGCTATGCTATCCAATATTGCCTCTAAAGTCAAAGACATGCGGCTAGTTCCTCCTACGGAAGAAGAAGAAGAAGAAGAAGAGAAACAGGAAAAGGAAAAAGCATCGTCGTCTGAGCACAATGGCAAAGACGCAAACGAACCTGGACCCACACCCAAACGACCAATCCTCGAGATAACTTCTTACGACCGGTTTACGCCTCCCTCTCCCACCCCAGATGTTGAGTACGACTGCCGGGTAACGCACAACCCGTCGGCTCAAGTGCGGAAAACATGCACGGGGCTGGACGCGATGTTGCAAGAAGAGCTCATGAGCCGAAGCTCCTTTAGCGATCTTGTGTCGCGGGCCGAAGGCGATATTCGGCGACTAATGGAAGTCAAGGATGTGCGGGCGAGTCGGGAGGGCGAGAGGGCGATTGTGCGGGTGGGATGTTTGTGCGGGAGCGGACATCATCGCAGTGTGGCGTTTGCGGAGAGGCTGGGCAAGGTGCGGTGGTGTGAGCAGGGCGAGTGGGAGGTGAGGGTTAAGCATCGGGATTTGACGGTGGGGGTGGAGGAGATGAAGAGGGTGAGGAGCGAGAAGAGGAGACGGGGAGGGGGGAAGGGAGGTAAGGAGGAGGATGGGAAGAGGGCTTGTGAGCATGGATGAAGTAGTCTGATTGACTTAGGCTCGATACAGCCATGATTGTTTGATAAGCACAAAGGGATTCGACGTATCTCGATTGTCGCCGGTGTTGTCTCGCAGTCTGCCCATGCTCTCCAGTGCCTCCATAAACGAGTCGGATAGCGAAGTCTCGGAAACATTTACTTCGCATTCGCCCTTTGCCATTGTTGTCGTCGTCGTTGCTGCCTTTTGCCCTTGGGCTGCCTTTTCTTGCGCCTTCTCGCTCAAGCCCTTCTTCCTCAACGCAGACATGTTCTCTTCATGGCGTCTCAGCCGTTCGTCGGTCGCGTTTCGGGAACGTCGTTTAGCCCATTTCTTGACGCCGTTCTTCACTACCCCCATCTTACCCGTCGGCTCTTGGGCTTCATGGCCTTCCTTTTCTGCGTTTTCCCTGCTCTTCTCTTCTTTCTCTGCAAGCTTGACTGCATGTTCTCTCTGCCATATGCGCCATAAATCATCGTCCCAGGTGGATACTCTCTTTTTGGCCAGATAGGCTTCCCACCACTTTTGCATGGTGGGCAGTGTGACGTCGATGTCGTAGATGAGCCAGCCCCACTCGGCGGCGTCTTTGGCAATGGCCTTGTTCTTGTCTTGGATGTAGGTGTCGTTGGAATGAGGGAGAGCAATGTATTCGGCTGTGGTTGTGATGTGTGGTTTGTGGATGGGGTACGAAGAGGATCGGTAGTAGAGCGGGATGGAGAGAAGGATAGTCATGGTGCTTTGAGGGTTCAGGAAGTCGGTTTTGATAGTCAGTTGTGGTGTGAAGGGAGTTGTGAATTTGATTGGCTTGTCTTGGTGTGAGTAGGCAAATTGTATAGTTGAAGGGATGGGTTCATTGTGTGAATACTATAGATTTCTGACTGCTATGTGCATTTGCCATGTGTTTTCACAAGACGGATTCATTCACGCGGGTTGGGTGGGTGAACGAGGTCTGCGGTAGAAACATGAGGCGCTGTAACACGCTTCTCATGTCTGGTTATAGTGATTCTATAGAGAATGTGTCTATACCTGCTTGTTTCAATCCAGTGTCTCTCTTCACAACAATGCGCACTGTTGCTAGGTTTGAAGAAACAGCCGTCAATGCACCATTGGCTCAGTCTTGAATACTGAGACAGTTGCAGATGGATTCTCGAATATTTAATATTGGAATATGCAGTTCTTCTGACATGTTTGGGGAAGATGTATAGCGGCGTAGTTGCATTTTGCATGAAATGTTGGCCATGATACGGATAAATCATCTACTAAGCAACACAAAATGTCGTCACCGTCTACGTCTTCACAAAGTCGGAAATATCAATGGAGGAATTTGCAGCCTTGAGTATTCTGACATGTTGCAGCAGTCCAAGATAATTACCGGTGTGATATAGATGCATGAAACACTAAGGAACTAAAGTAATAACATGAAATAGTGAAACGGTAGTCTTCGGGGATATTTCTTACTTTGTGAAACTACCAGCCCAACGACTTTTGGTCGGATGGGCAGCGACGCCCAAGTATCTATGTCCTTGCACGAGCCGCTCGGGCATTTCAGGCACCAAATATCGGTGAGGGGCGGGTCGCTTCACCTGGTCTTGCCATTGTTTTTTTTTCGCATCAAATTATACTTTTTTGCTCAATCACCTCGGACTGGATATCCAAGCGCCGTCTCCGGTCAAGTCAACATGGTACGACTGTGCAGCATCGAGCGCCTTTTTGGTTGCCGACGAAGGGGCGTAAAGCAAAGGGGTCCATTCCTTTGCCTGGGTAACACTGCGACGTCCCTCGAGGATGGATTGGTTTTGTTGCTCAACGTAGGTGCTTGGCATGAGTGCGCTGTAGTGTAGCAACGAGTATAGGGCATGCATGTATGTATGTATGTATGTATGTATGTATGTATGTATGAGTCGGTCGGGTGCGCGCAGAGGAAAAAGAAACAGGCGTCGTGGGTCAGATGAGATGGACCGTCAGCCATCAGGCATGGCGCAATGGCCACTGGGGCCACGACTAAGCTGCCATGTGTGAGATCTCGATTCCCGTGGGAAGAGCAGACGACTTGACGAGACGTGGCACACGATGGACGACGAGCAGACGACGTCGGTTTCGATGGAAGGGTGCATATGCACCGCCATGTATGTGTGATGGATCACGATACATGTGGTAGCACAGCAGTTAGTGCCCAACGTCGCTATTTGCTTTTTTCGAAACCCCACGCAAGGACCATGCAGGCCGCGGCCGGCGGATGCACGGCTCCCAGGCCGCAAGTGGCAGTGGCAGTGGCAGTGGCAGGGTCACGAGGTACAGACAGCATGGCACGTCTGTATGTATGTAGCTATAGTATGTACTGATGTAGACAAGTCACAGGACCAGCGGTGATGGATGCACAAACCACGACACGAACACAGCATGGGCATAGGTCATGTCATTTCATCACAGCACAGCAGCCCGAGCAATCAAATTTTAACACGATGGTCAGAATATACATTAACTATGGGTATTACAGTAGACTGGGGTTTTTTTTCGAAAGAGATGTAAAAAAAAATTAGACAAGCTGCCTTATGCAGTGTGTGCTCGCCCCAGCCCCTCCGGAGATTAGACGGAATTTCCACTCTTGACCGCATGGTCGACTTTGCCTCGACGCCAGGCTCCATGTCTGCATGGGCATGAGCATGAGCATGGCCATGGCTGGCCTCGCACCCTGGTCCCCGTTTCCCTTTTCCAAAGTCAAAAAGCATCAAAAGAAGAAAAAAAGAAGACGTGTCCAGCTTGGCTCTTTTCGGTTGCTCCCCCCTCTCTCGTCTAACCCCCTTTTGGAGGCTTTTCCCTTTTTCGCTTAACGGCCAACTCTCTTGCCATGGAGTTAAACACGCATATACTCAAACGAACAAAGCAGTGTGCAGTGTCAGCGGCAAACGGGCCGAATGCAACCCCAGTAGTTGTTTTTTTTGTTGGCACGATTTTAACGTTTGTGTGTGCCGAGACGCGTGTGTCGTGTGTTGCGAGGTAGGTGGGACGACGAGGTAGAGATGGGGTCGGATGAAAGAAAGGGTGAATGATGTCACTCGGCTGGCGAGCGGGAAAGGTCTTGTCAGTGTGGGGGCGGTGTGTGGGCGTGTGTAATGAGAAAGGGACGTTTTGTCGGAGGGTTGGCAGCCATGCAGGGAGACGGGCTAGGGAGGGAAAAAGAGGCCTTGGCGATTCTCTTCCGCTTCTAGTCGGTGTGCTGGTCGTCGTCGTCGTCGTCGTCGTGGGGTGGGGTGGGTCTTGTTGGTGAGGGTGAGGTAAGACTTGTCGTCATGTCGTTTCGTCTCTTGGCCCGCCTTTGCTGGGCACAGGCGCAAACTCTGTCCATTTCCCCGACTTCTTGGCTTTTTTGGGGCTGCCATCTGCCATCTGCCATGTGCAGTCTCGCCTTCTCCACACGCGCATACCAAGACGATGAGCTCATTTACTCCTCGGACTCGACGCTCTCGACGCTAGGCGAGGGGGATGAGTCGCGTGTGTAGCGCGACGAGAGGGTTGGGCTCGCAATGGGCTGCTGAGCAATCGAGGCCTGGCCGTCTGCAGAGGGGTCTTCGACGGGGAGACGAAGCATTTGGCCGCCCACGAGGTTGGGGACGTAGACGTATTGAGGAGCTGGGGAAGACATGGTGGTGGTGGTGGTAGTGATGGTGGTGGTGGTGGTGGTGGTAGTGATGGTGGTGGTAGTGATGGTGGTGGTAGTGGTAGTGGTGGTAGTGGTAGTGGTAGAGTAGTGATAGAATAGTAGTGGTAGAGTCGTAGTTGAGTCGACACAATCGAGTCTGGAGTCTGCTTTGTCAAGAACCGGGGATAACGACCCATCTATATACTAGACGTCTCAGCCCACCCCGGCCCCAGAAGCTGTGTGTGTCGATGCCACCACCACCACCGCTCGTCGTCGTCGTCGACCTCGACGACCCATGCACGCAGCCCACTCACCCAAAACCCTATCCCCGACGTCCCAAGCACGGCACCACCTCGATGCCCGCCCACAGCCTATCAGCGGCCCGGGCACGACATGGGCAACGGGGCGCCATGTCCGCTCTGTCAGCCCAAGCGCGCTGATTCGGCCGCTGTGCACGGCGGCGGCGGTGGCTGGTTCATGCGCTTCGTATGGATGAGAGTGTGTGACGGTTCCAAAGGGGGAGGGGGGCCCCGCATCCACTACTACCGCACTCGACTAGGTGCACCTCCACCTCCACCTCCATCACACACGACACACACACACACACACACATTCACCCTCACCCTGGACACGACACACCCATGCCCCCGCCGCCGTGTCGACCGGAGCTTACCTCGCCATGCTAGCGCCGGCCATGTCGCAGCATCCGCGGGTCTAGATGCCTCGCCATGGCCCCGCTAGGCCCTGTCGAGGGCCATCGTCTTTGGCAATGCCTGTCTGGTCGTGCCCTTGGACGCTCAAAAGCAAAAAGACTCCTGGCTGTGTTTCGGCGCGATCGGCGTCCAACAGAGTTCGTCATGACGAGACAGCTTGTTGTGCTAGACGACAACCACCACCACCACCACCACCACAAGAAGCCGCGCGGTCACTGCTCGTGCGTCTGCTCAGGCCCGAGGCTGTATACAGTCAGCAGCTGCCTTGGGCCCCGCTGTGCGTGTGGTTATTCTTATCCTTATTACACCACATGCTACGCCATCCACAACGCTACCCGACGCCGCCCAGCCTGGTGTTGCTATCTCTGTCCACGGCCATGGCGATTATCGACGGGGACCTCCAGTTCGCCATGGCGGTTCGTGGGGGGTTTTCCCTGTCTCTCCCTCCCCTGCAGCCTGGGCGCGGCCGAGAATCACGCCGACCTTCTTCCATGCATGTCGAGACAAGGCAAAAATCAAAATGACTATTGCGTGGCAACTCTGTGAGTGTCTCGCTGTCTGTGAGCAGTCGACGCACAATGCCCGTCAAAAATAGTCATTAACCCCGCGCCCTCAGATAACACGACGCCGCCCCCTCCGCCACGAGTCAGTCAGTCGTGCGCGCCCTTGATACCCATGGCAACACATAGACATGATGGCAGCTCGCGGCGCACGGCTGGGGGACTGCACGACAAGCCCAGCTGCCCCTTGGGCTTGGGGCCAGCCTCTTGGCCCGTCGTCAAGTCAGCCAACCTCTGTACACATGCTTCGCTTCCGCCAGCCTGCACCTAAAACAAAATAAACGGCCTCTGCGAATACGAGCGCACGGAAGCCCATGCCGTAAAGGAGGGGTTGGGCAGGCCGAGAGCGGGATTCTTGGGCCCAAGCATTCCGCCAGCGCAATCTCCATCCACCACCACCACCACCACCATAATGTACTCTACCCAAACACCTCCCAAGACACACCCAACAAACGTCGCCAGGACGCGCCAATGCACCCCACACCCCTCCCTCCCGGCCTGGTTCCCCACAACCTACAGACTGCCGGTTGCTGCTGCTGCTGCTGCTTTGCTGTCGTGCCCCGTGCATGACCAAGCCCAAGAGCCGTCATTGGCACACCCCAAACGGCACCATGCCTTGCAAAACATCATGACATTATTGTTGTAACACTCCAGAAACCCAAAGCCTCGCTAGTAACACACATACATGCAGCCATGGCTATACGCTGTCGTCTGACCTGGCGGGCCGGATCTTGTCAGCTTCAGGGTTACCCTTATTGCCCTTCCAACCCCACGCCAACCGTGCCATCGTCTTGTCCTCGTCCTTGCCCGGCCACATGACCTGCCCCAGGAACACTGCACGCATGCAAAACGCTGCCGTCACAAGCCACATGATGACAAGCAGCAGCGTCAGTGCGCTCGCAACCCCATTGATGCCCTCGCTCCTGAGCACTTTGCCCGCCTGAATCGTCGCCAGCGTGAGCCCCGAGTTGGGGAAGATGAAGGCCCACCAGTTGAGCGAAAAGGACATTCTGCGCGCCCCAACCACCACCGCAATCGTCGTCACCAGGAAGAACCAGTACGCGAACAAGATGAGAAAAAGGCCCGACACAATGCCCATGATGCGCACAATCTCGCCGTCGGGAATCGAAATCGTCGTGAACAAGTTGGGCGGCACTTGGTTCGGTGCTTGGTTCGCCAGCGAAAGGAGCCCAGCCGCCGTGTAGCCTGCCATGGTTAGTCAGGGATACGACAATGGCTGACGGCTGCATAACCTACCTGCTGGCCCTACAGACACGTACATGCCCGGTCGGGTGGTGGGGGACGGTAGGGCGTTGGTCATGAGTCGCTGCATGTACAGGCCATACAGCAGAAACGACACCGACCATGCAAGCCCTTTGAACATGATGGCGCTAACAAAAATCTTCCAGCTCGCAGCCGGCGGTTGTGCTGGCAGTATCGTGCCAGCCAGCGGTCCTACCACAAGCAAAGGGTATATCGGAAAGATCCAGGCTGGCACTGCATCCGCCACGTTGAGCCGCTCCAGACGAAAGAACATAGAGTACTGGATTAGGCCAACGAGAAACGCAGCCGCGCAGTACATCCAGTACGTCACCTCGAGTCCTTTGGTCAGCCACGGCCCTTGGGACGAGTTGCCGTAGATATATGCCCCATTCAGAATCAGCGATACAGACACCCAGTATGTGCCGAAGAACAGGCCCTCGACGGGATGATGGAGCGACCCAAGAAGCTTGCGAGGCACCAATATAAACCGTGTAATCATGCACAGACTGAAGACGGCAAAGAGAACCAGGTCGACAATGTAAACCACCTTGCCAATGGTTTGCAGGCCCGGGAATGTATTCGGCGTGTTGCCCAAGACTACGGCCAGCGAGCCAGTAGACATGGTGCATGCAAACCATGGCCTATTGCCCTTTGTCAGCCTAGCATCCACAACGTCTTGTGCGCGCAAACCTACCACGTGAAGTGGGCCAGGCGATCACGAAACCCTACCACCTCGGGCGGCTTCTCCCCATCGTCCCCCGTGTACTGGTCGTGTTTCCTGTCGCGGAATCGCATGCTGGCGAAGATGGATTTCTCAGACGCGCACTCGTGGCCGACTGTGCAGCGACCGCGCTCCAAGTCATTCTTTCCAGGCTCCCAGCGTCATGCCACTGGCACGTCAAAAGATCCAAGACCATGTTTCGTCATCGGCCGCCATGGCGCCCGTGGTTTCTGCACGTAGTAAGAAGCGTGCAGGTTTTTTTTTCTTCCTCCTTGCCAACCATCTAATGAGAGTAGATCAACAGGGCTTTTCTCGCACTGAAATCTCGGCAAAGCGGCACATGGGGGGGTTTGAGTGTGTGTGTGCGCATGTGTCTGTGGGTGTGGAAGTGGAGCTGGGCATATCTTCAGATCGCAGTGACGTCACTGTGATCGCATCCAGGGCTGGGCACGGGTTACGTCAGACCTGACTCAGTTTTGCGAGTATCAGTTGCTGGCACAACACCAATGCCAAATGCGCTGCTGCACAAGTTGGGACATGACAATGAGGTTGCTTTGGTGAAGATGAGTAACGCCGTTGCATGGCCTCGTGACAGGACTATCCTTGCCTCGCGAGCCAACACCAACCGTTACTTCGGTTATCAGCAGTAGTTTAGAGCCCGCGTGCTGACGATATGGATCAAGTCATCAACCATCCACCAAGTGTAATCCCCCAAAGGCTACTACCACTACTCCATATTAGACCCAAACCTAACCCCCCCCCCCCCCCACCATTGTATGTAGATCTCGTGTGCGTGTGCAAAACCCCCCATTTTCGGCTTCTCCCGATTCACCGGATGGTAGCGCAGCGTCGCCTCGACCCTTTGCTCGTGATTCGTCCAAGCTACCTAGACAGCAACGTTTTGCATAAACATGTACTCTTTTCTTGAGATATTTTTCTTCTTCTTTTCGCTAAATATACAGCATCACGATTTTGCCCGATTGAGTCTTTGATAAAGCAATTCCATCGTGTCTGCGTGCGCGTGGACCCTTGAAAGTTGATCTTTTGACCGGTTCCATTAGGCCATATTCTTTTTTTTTTGCAAGGGGAGGCGGTTCAGGTGAACGTGTGTATCTTTGTATCGCGAGATACCAAGTATACACTAGGTGTACAGTGTGGTTACGACGACGTTAGTGAGCCGCTGATTCATCCCTGCATCATGTCATGTGCGCAGTAGGCAAAATGTTATCCGCCGAGCATA